AGTTCAGGAACCCGTGCCTTGAATCTTCTTTAGCATTTCTAGGAGGATCAGTATTAGATCCCATCTTTTCTGTACTGAGAAGGTGAAGGAGGAGTAGGGCAGGTAATTCCAGGCATGGCTTAGTCACACTGTATGTGATCCATCTCCTGTTACAGTGCCTTTGATCTCCCTCCCTTTGCATAGCCTGCATCTGACACCAAACCTTACCTCTCCTTCAGCAGCAAACCCCATAACTCTTTCTGGCTCCAGCATTTAGTTTCTCTGATACTTTCCCCGTATGGAAATATTAACCAAAGCCTGAACTTTTTAATCTCACTGTTTCTAGTCTTGTGATCTCCTTTGTATGCTAATGCTGAAAATGTGCTGGCATATGAATAGAACCCTACCCGAGGTGCGAACCTCTCTTTTGAAGCTTGATTTTATTCCTGATGCCTCTAACAGGTGTTGGTTTAATAGGTTTGCTGCATTACGGCTTGCCTCTTTCTTTCTTGTGTGAGCCCAGCCAGATCTGTAAGCTGACACGACATGAAGGCCAGGCATGTGACTTCTCCCTGCCTTTACCCTCACTTCACACCAAACACTTGCGCTGCAGACACCCAGCAGTCAAGGGAGCTTTAATTCAAGCTTTGTCTAAACCAGGAGGTTTTGTGCTGATTGCATTTGAATCAGCCCAACCAAAGCCCCCTCGCGCATTCCCATCCAAGGGTCTGCTTGCTTTGATTTTCCACTGTCAGCTTTCTGAGGGGCAGCTGCTGAAGGGAAGTGAATGTGGCTTGGACAACAAGAGGAGAAGTGTGTTTGTGCTGCTCTCTGCAGAGATTTCACACGAGGAGTTTGAAGCCACGGTCTGCATTACACTGATCAGTGCTCTCCAAAGGACAGGCTTGCTGCGAAGAGGAAGGTGAATTCTTCTCCGATTAGGTCTAGTGGAAAATGTTTCACAGCCTGTTTATCAAACAAATATTCACAAAGACTCTTCGAGTGGGGAAACCCACAGGGATTAAAGTGTAACTTTACCTCTAAAATACGAGATTCCTGGAAATGCTGCAAGCTTTTGACTTTGTGCCACCTGTTGTTTTCCTGCCATCCTGTTCGGCTCCCTCCTGACTCAGAGCAAACCCAAACATGCTTTGGCTTCACTGGAACATTCTGCTTGTTTTTCTGTCTCATGGCAGAGCTTCCTGATGTGGTCCTCGTGGAGCTGGTTGAGGTTAATCCCAATCTCCTGTAATCCTGAGGGGTCTGTTCAAGAGCAGTGCTGAGAGGCTGTGCTACCTGGGCATGTTGAACCCTGGTGCAGGAGGGTTAAGCAGTGGTGGCTGGACGGCAGGGAGCTTCCTTCAGCTCTTCTCTCTCCTTCTGTAGTTATTGCCGACATGAAGGTCAAGCAGTTCCTCAACAAGTGCCATACATACGCACCTCAGAGTATGACAGTATAATCCATTGCTGACTTTGAGCTACCTTGGTTTGTCCCTAAGATGTTACAGTATGAGGTGGCTCTGGGAATGAGGTTGGGTTTGCACCGTGGAGTTCAACTTTCATAGCCAGATCCTTCCATATTCATGAGCAAACCCAAATGGACTGCGATGGGCTCCTTGGTTGCTGTGATTTCTTTGTCACTTGAACTGTTTTCACTCCAAATTCTTAGTCCTTGTTGAAGGCAGTCCTGCATCTTCCTAATCCTGTAGTGCATTCCCATATACAGTTGGTAAACTAGAGGTAGAGAGGGGTTAAGAAGCTTGCCCAAGGCAGATGAGTCAGTGCCAGAGCTGGGAATAGAAACCAAGAGACTTGGCTCCTGCTCCAGGCTCTAATTGCACAATCTTGCATTGAAGCCCTGTCATCATATACTCTTGAGGTAACACTGGTTGAAGTGAGATGGGGGAAGCTGTTTCCAGGCTGTGACACCTAAGGAGAGGGGAGAGGAGGAGACACCTGGAGCCAAATTGGTTGTTGAAGCACCAATAATTGGTGCTTTAAAGCCTGGTCTCAGCAATTGGTCCTAAAATCTGATCTGCCAGCTTTGAAGCCAACAAAGTGTAAACTAAGGAGCTGTTTGGGAAAAATCCAGCCCTTTTCCAGTCACTGCTAAAGGGGAGAGGCAAAGGCAGAACATCACTGGTCTTTTCTGTAAAACACCCTTGCAGTGAGACTGGGCACAGAGGCAGGCGAGCTGGAAAGTTCCAAGTGATAACAGGAAAGGTTAAATCCCATTTCAGCTGTTACTGCAAAGAACGAAAAAGAAAATGTAATCAAGCTAGTAAAAGGTTTGGATGATGTTGTGTTCATATCACATGCTGTGTATAGGAAAAGTCAGCCTGGCTGGTTTTGTTTGAAGTGCAGTGCTTGAGAGGGTGCAGTGCTTTGCAGCGAACTGTCTGACATTCCCCAGCTGGGACTGGCTGGGGATGGTGTTTGGAGCTGAGAGTTCCATTTGGAGTCGGCCCATGTTTGAAGGAGACAGAGGGAGAGAAAGGAGCCTGTTTCTTTCCTGTGTGAAACAATGCATCCATCTAATCTGCCAGCTGTAGCATGTGGAAATCAAGGCAAATGGACAGAAATCACCTGGAAACTGTGAATATAGCTCAAACAAGAGTTCTTTCCTGTCCTTTCTTCTGGGACAGCAGGGAGATCTGGCAGATTGGATATGCATTGACCAACTAAAGCACAGAAATATTAATACTCTAAAAAATAACATTGCCTTCTGAAGAGTGCTTCATGTCTAAATGCTCTCAGTCCCCTTGCACAGGCATTGTCAGGTAATCTATAGATTCTCCACATTCATGTGTAGAAACGTTCATTTCCTTCTAATTTACAGCCAGATTCATCTCGGCCCTCATGGCCTAGACGAGATCAGAGTTTAACTCGCAGCCCCTGCTTCAGGAGAGCTCCAGAAAACATGCTTGGGGTTTGTTTTCACTTATGTCTGTGGAGCTGTTTTCCCGAATCAGGGTCACACAGGTTTTATTCTTTTGGGAAGGGAAGAGATTAAAACTTTTGAACTTGCTGATGCTACTGATCAAGTTCATTGCAAAAGAAACTAGTCCTTGGGGAAAGGAAATCCCCCTCGTCCATGTGCTGAGTTTATGGAGGTCACAAAATTCTGGGTGAATTTCCCTGTATTTTACTCGTACGAGTAAAATTAAAGTAAGAGTTGAATTCAAGTAAGAGTGAAGTAAGAGTTAAATTCACTGGTCCTCAGTCCTATTATGTGCATGGATGTGAAAATTGAGTTTTCATTCCTAGCTGTAAATGAATATTGGTCATTTGGATAGTAGTCATATCGTTGCCTTTTATGCAGTTAGTGGCTGTAGAGACCTGTTTGCCTGTAACCCGTGGAATAACGAGTTTGGGGACGTGAGTTATGACTTCCCTTTAATTTGGTACCTTTTGCATCGTATTAGCAGCATATTGCTATAGTGGTATAAAATTTGTCCTTTTATGAGCCTATGATGAATTAATGAAGTAGCATTTAAACTCTTTAATCAAAGCAGTGTTTCTGTGAATGCTTTGCCCGTATAAGTGAGGATGAATTGCTGGCTGTTTAAAGGGTGAGTCTCCAGAAAGCAAATTGTTCTGGGGATGCAGTTTTTACCCTTTTGCTATTACAGATGCCAGCAAATGTGGTGAAACAATCTGGTTTTAATTACAGGGAGGGTAAAGGAGCAGATCCCAGTGTGGGGAGCAGGTCCCTTGCCATGTGCTGCTGGTATTTTGAGGGGAGGGGTTTTCTTCTCAAGAGACTTGTCTGAACCTCTGGGAGAGCTTGAAGTGGGAGTGAGACTGCAGAAGACAGCAGCTTCAGTGCCTGGAAGGCTGTGGTCAGCTCATCCATCAGTTTCAGAGAGCTGTGTTGTGAGAGCTGGGTTGTCCCGGTTTGCATTCAAGAGTGCTCTCACTGGCTGCTGTCTTCTCCTCTGTCTTCTCAGTAGGTAGCCAGACGGATTAAGGCACAGTTCTTGTCTGAGCTCTCTCTGCTATCTGTTATTATTCAGCAAGTTCTCAAGTGTCTAGTGAGCATCCCTGTTTGGAGTGCCTCACTCACAGCCTTGCCAGTAATATCAATGACTGGTCTAGATTCACACCAGGCATGTGCTCTGCTACTTGTGACTAATGCACAATGTATTTTTCTAATTGATTACTGTTCTCTTGGCTGATTCAGGCCAGAAAGGAGTCCAAGGAAAGGACTCAGGGTTTTCTTACTTAGACCTTGTTGAGTACAGATAGGGTCTAAGAGGTACTTGACTGTTTGATGGCTGTGGAAATCCTAAGGGCAGCTTGTGGTGCCTTCTCTAAAGGAAGCCGTTAGGTTGAATCCTTCAGGCTGTGGCTGGTAAAACAGCAAACACAGGCGATTGTTAGAGGGTCCGAGCTTGGTGCTTGGGCACAGTATTGGCACTGTGGAGTTTTCCTATGGTAACAAAGCTAGCAAAAGATGAGGAATCATTTGCAAGCCCTCTCACAGTGTTCCTGTGCATTACAACCCCTTGTAATATAGTCTAAAGCTGTGAGCTTTTGGAAAGATCCATAGGAAGTGAGGAAACAATATTTTGTAACTTGCTGAGATCATACTTACTCACCTGTTTCCCGCTTGGAAAATTCCATTCTCTGTGTATAGCATTGGCAGGCTGCTTAAACCATTGATGAGCCCCCCTTGCCTGCAGGTTTATAATCCAGCCCTGCGTATAACAAATCTGTTCTGAAAGGGCAGTTTTGTGGGATTCTGATATTAAAACTGATGGAGTCAATAGTTCTGTAGAAGAAAAAGGTCTTGTGCTATAACAGAAGCGTCTGGAGGCTTGCAAATATCTGTGAGGAGCAGCACGGGGATGAAGGAAGATCCCTCTGGTGTGGGTTTCTCCTTGGACAGCTATTGAAGAAGCACCATTACTCTGAGTGTAGGGACTGAGAGGCTGGCCTCTGGGCCTGCTGCAACCTTGGGTATTCTTTCTGTTCCTCTAAGAGAACTAACTTGTCTCTCTTTCTCCGCTCTGTTTCAGGCATCACAACAGGATCCGCAGCATTGAAGCAAGTCAGCTGAAGCCCTACGTTTCCCTGGAAACGTTGGACCTGAGTTTCAATGACATCACAGAAATCCGAAACGGCTGCTTTCCACAGGGACTTCACATAAAGGAGCTGTGAGTTTTTCTTGTTGGGAACAGCTTTTGTTGAGTTACCTCAGCAGAGGAAAGGGCCTCAAACCTTTAAAAAGAGAGGGAATGAACACGCAAAGTACGGGGTTGTTCCTCACGTTTCTAAGTGCAAAGGACAACTAGAAGGCAGCACTTTGTCCCTACTGTCAGGTTGGTTTTTGAGCTCTGTCTTTTTGGTTTCTGATGGATCTGTAAAGAATACAGGTTATTATTCATTATGTTGCATGGCAGTGGTGCAACACAGAAAAGGTATCCTGCATCCTTCAGGTGTGGTTGTCTTCACACCTACAAAACCAGAAGAACTGTTTGCAGCAGGCCTGTTATGTCTCTGTCCCAATGGCAAGTGTATATGCTGTTTCTCAGATCAGATGCTCTGGAGGATCCGAGGGGAGGAGGGAAGGGGGAATGAGTATTTCGTCATCAAAGTGACTACTGAATGTTAAAACCAGAAATCGCTCATTGGTTGGTTGAGGAAAACTGGGGGTTAAGCAGAGTAACACCTTCCTTATTCAGGGAAACATAAAATAATCTGGTTTAGGTACCTTTGAAGAGGTGCAGACAGATAATCTGCTTGCATTAAAGTTTGCACCTAAATTTCTGCCCCTGGTTGTAAGAGGATACAGAGAACGGTGTTGTGACTGATGTTTTCCTGTTGTCCTGTAAAAGCAGCTTCTGTGGCTAAGGCTAAGTAAGAAAGAGCACTGGGGCAGATGCTGCGGAGAAAATGCAGAATGAATAGAGCCATCCTGCACTGGAATATTCTCCAGTTTCTGGCTTCCACTCCGGATTGCCTTGCTGAAATAAGAGGATATCAAGGAGCTCTTGGGAAGTGCACAGCACTTCTCTGACACATGGGAAGGGCACTGTGCTCTTTGTGCAGCCAGAAATCCAAGTGATCCAGAGCTGTCTCTGTGATTTCACCAGCCTGTCTGGAGACCAATGAAATGCTGATAAAAGATTTCTGACTGAACTGTTCATTTTTCTGCTGTGATTTATTGCAGGTACCTGGGGAGCAACAGAATCAGCACCCTGGAGCCTGGTGCTTTTGATAGTCTGTCACGGTCCCTGCTAACACTTCGTCTGAGTAAAAACAGGATCACTCAGCTTCCTGTCAAGGCATTCAGGCTACCCAGGCTAATACAACTGTGAGTAGAAATGCCCACTGTAATTAAGCTCAGACACACTTTATGGAGAGAAAATATCCCTGAGGATATACACAGCAAATGTCACCCTTCCTCACCTGCTATCTATAAAACTTAGAATACACTATGCAGTAGTCCTCTGCCAGCACCTAGTGCAACACGTTAGGAGAGGGTCCTTTTTGTCTTGTAAATATTGCCTTTTCAGGCTGTTCTGATCCGTTATGAAGGGAGGTATGCTGCAGCAGACATCAGCATCTTGTGCACTTAACAGTGCAAGACAAACCCATTCCCTTGAAAGCTGCTGGTGTCTGTGGCACAAGAGAGGTTTGGAAGATGTTTGTATTGCGAGTGACAGAGCTCAGCTACTGTGTTAGTTTAAGACCACACATATCTTTATGTGGTGGTAAAAAATCAGTGATGGAGGGTTGTTAAACTGTGATATATTTGGGCAGAGAAAATAGCACTTTAGATGAGTTAACACACGCATTGTTGTTGTCCTGCCTGTGGTCCATATGGCAGGAGCTGCGTGGGGATGCATAGACATCTGCAGCTATAAATATGCTTTATGTGTAAAATAGCACTAACGGGTTTAGCTTTTCCCTTCTGCTCCTGGTGGAGAAACGGGCCCAGCCTGAGGCATGTTGCAGTTTATCCTTCAAATTTGATAGGGAACAGGTCAACCTCTCTCTGTTAACAAAGTCCACAAAAGCTGCTGGAACTCACGCCTCTAAATGGCAGCCTCTTGATTGAAAGACAAATCCTTAAGTCAAGGCATGCCTAAGGAATGAGTGTGCATTTATGCTTGCATATATGTAAGATTTATAGCTAGTTTGGGACTGCGCAGTGTGACGCAGTAGCAAATGCATCTTAAAGTCTGTTGCCTCTCAGTTAGAAGTTACCGTCCATTGACTGAGAGCTTGTAACCCTCTGCATCCTGTGCAAAATGAGAGTCAACTCAATCTGTTTGGGATCATAGTTTTCACTGGAAGTTGGAGTAATTGGCATTCTTAAAGACAACCTCACAGCTTGTTGTTTAACCCTAAAACATGAATGAAATGCAAGCTATACAGACTTGGTGTGTTGTAGAATTCACATTTCCTGGCAAAGCATATTTTGCTATAGCCTAGGAAGTGAAGTAAGGCAAGAGTCTTTAGGCCTGTAAGATTTTAATCGCTTGACTTTAATTACACTTGAGTGCAAGTTCAACATTGTTTGTTTAGGCAGTTACGAAGCAAGCTTAAAGTTTCTACAGCTTCCTCATCTTTTCCAATACAAGTTCTGATGTTGTAACCTCCACTGTTTTCTTCCACATAAACACTGAAGAGGGAACCACCCTTAGGTTAATCTTGTATGTGCAGAAAGGTATCTGGTTTAAAAGCTCTGTCTTCGGCTTTTAGTGCATTGTGTTAAGTTTTCCTCTGAATTTAGGGAACTGGTCTGTCTGGGTCTAGCAGTCCATAGGATTCTTTGATATAGTTGGTAGAGGTGTTGTGAAGATGTTCACAGTGCTGTTCAGACAAAAGGTATTCCCAAAATTTAGGACCCCATCCTCACCCAGGGAGGAAAGAAATGAACCAAATTGGAGGTCTTTGTATATACAAAATACTGAGGCTGCCTTATTATTGGAAACAACTTGTTTCACTCTTTATTAGTGTCTTATAATAGGAAGAACATGAAATCTTTCAGGGGAACTGAAAGCTTTCCTTTCAAACTTAGCCATAACATTTCCTCTTGGGCTTACAGTTCTCAGGGCACCCGCTTGTTTCAGAGCACGTTTTTAACTGGGCAATTAGAAGTCCCATGTGTTGTAAGGAAAATAATGCTGATGTTTAACTCTGTGCTTCTAATGGTGTCTCTGCCTGAGAGAAGATGAAGTGAATTCATCCTTTTCATTGATGAAAAGGATAAATGGCTTAAAAGAAATGCAGAGAGAGGAGGGATGAAGAGGGATTGCTGCACTGTGTGATTTCTGTATAGTGCAAGTCTGTCCCAGGGCAAGTTTGTTTAAGGGATCACACCCAGCTGACTTCCCTGCCTAGCTCTGGAATTGAAAGTTTCCTGTGTGCTTCTGCTGTCTCTTGGGAACTGCTGACAGAGGAGCTGTTGGCATTGCTGTCCCCATTGTATGCTGCACAAATGCTTTTGTGACAAAGAACTGGGATTTAATAAACTTTTATGGCCCTGGTGATTTTAGGGAGCTGAACCGGAATCGCATCCGCCTGATCGAAGGCCTGACGTTCCAGGGACTGGACAGCTTGGAAGTCCTGAAACTCCAGCGCAACAACATAAGCAAGTTGACTGATGGGGCTTTCTGGGGTCTAGCCAAGATGCAAGTTCTGTAAGTGGGGGAAATGGGCTTTTTTCCCTTAAGCAGCCTAGATTTCTCTTATCATGTCCTTCACTTATCAGAGAACATTTGTGCACAGAGCTCTGACAGCAGCTTCTGTTTCATTAATCCCCATTTTACTGAAGCTCATTGCTTTACCAGGTTCAGTAAAGGAGTCCTGTTTTTCAAGCTGTGGCAGTATTTCTTTGCTTTGAACATTCAGTAGGATCTCAACTGGTCTTTAAATAAAAGTTCACATGGCTTCTGCGAATTTGGAGTGGTAAATGGAAACTCTGTGTTGCAGACCTGATTATTCTGCCTCTTGGGATACCCACAAACCAAGCTGGCCTATCTCAGTGATGTGTTCTTTCCATATGAGAGAATAAATTGAACAGTCATTGCAGAGAAATGCTTGAAACTTCCAACATGAGTTACTTTCAAGTGTGTTTGTGTGGTCACAAGTGATCAAGGCAGCATGTTTCTGGATGCTGCTGTCACACAACTGAGACTCCGCAAACACAAACTTGAATGGGATGCTTTAAGCCTAGTTTACTTGCAGTGGAACATACCTCTGCAGCCCCAGCCCATTCTGGGCGTTTTCTTTGTGTTTTCCTTGAATTCCTGTTCTTCACTTGCACAAGAGTTGCTCACACATGCATATATCCACATGGATTTGTAGAAAGATGCGTGGGAATAGCTAAAATTCCAGTTCTTGTTGGAAATTGTTCAGTATTTGGCCAGTGCTTACGTGTCAATTCCTTGTGGTTTTTGTCTCCACAGCCACCTGGAGTATAACAGCCTGACAGAAGTAAACAGTGGCTCTCTCTATGGCCTTTCATCTCTGCACCAGCTTCACCTCAGTAACAACTCCATATCCCGCATCAACCCCGATGGATGGAGCTTCTGTCAGAAGCTGCACGAGCTGTAAGATGGTTTCTGTTGTTGGTTGGGCAGAGTTTGATGCTAATGTAACATAGGTAGGAAAGGGGAAACAGGATTTTTCCCAATCATGTGGCTTAACAGCTCTCACAGTATCAACCTGTAGAAATGCAGGAACTGTGGCCTGTTAAGTGATGCCCTTACTGTTCATGGTGCTGTGACCTTCAGAGGACCTGATTAAAATAGGTTTGCACTGGCAACAAAGATTAGAACCCACTAAAAGTATACAGTGCCAAAGGACCTGGAGAGCTTGTGAGCTGCAGCTTGCCAACACTTTCTAACTAGCTAGTTACAAGACATGCACAGCCTGCCATATAATGACGGCACAGCCTGAAGGAAGCTTTGCTTTATCCTCTGTATTTACAAAGAGCAATCATGGTTTTAACCAGCAGAGGTTTGGCCCTTTAAGGCAGTTCTCCTTGTTTCTCCTGTTTACACTTTACCCTTCCTGTAAGGCTCAGTTGTTGAAAAGTAAATCCATTGACTTTGCTCTCCTGAGATTTCCAGCTGTGAATACAGTCTCTTTGATAAATGAAAGAAAGCCTCGCTGCTGAGGACAGCACAGCAAGGGTGTCTTTTGGGTCTGTGGCACTGCTTAATGCCTTTTTGAAGAGGCACACATGGATGCTTGCAGTATTTACAGAAGTAGCTGTCATCCCCTTGGTGGGCCTGTGGAAAGATTCACTTTTTTCTTTGGAGAACTTGACACATGTGGTTAGCTGAACTGCAATTCAGTCTGCTTGGTGCTCGGAAATCTCTTGTTAAACATTGTTAGGGGTTGCCCTATCCACCAAAAAGCAGTACAGTAAAACAGCTTCCTGCTTTCAGAGGCCTTGGTCCGGACTCACGCTTGAAGGCTGGTCGGTATCAGCCTACCCAGCTGGGAGTCCCTAATCTTTTGGGATGTGGATTCAGAGATAGATGGACATGGCACATGTCATTCTTCTAAGCGTAGAAACTGTAGAATTCATTTGGTAGCCAGGCAGGTGATTTTTTGGGGCACAAGAAAGTAATTTTTTTTTCCCTTTAGTTAAATACTCATGTGCTTGTTTAATTGCCTAATTTTCCAAATTGCTGTGAAACTGCCTGTGCCTAAAGGGCTCCTTTACTTGGCACGGTGTTGTAGACAAGGGAGAACTGTTCCTTCACATGCAGATCCTCAAGTGATGTTTTACTAGGTTAGGGCAGCGTCAATAGAGAAATCCTAAAGGCAGCAGATCAGAATCAGCACTATGCCTGTGGTCTGCTTGAATCTAAAGCATCATAAAGGGAGAATCTTCCTTCATAAGGCACTTGCAGTTGTATCCCTGGAATACCAAATTCAGGTGACTACTGTGTTAGCAGCATAGCTATGGGAGCTTTCTTGGGCACCTCCTATCTGGTGTCTGTGTTGAAGCCTTATTTCAGCCTAGGTTCAGATGGGATGGGTAAGTCCCATCTGCATCTTGCAGAGCTTATGTCAGAGCTGTTTAGAGAGAACCATGCTTGTCTTTACTACCTGACACTGTCTTTGCAAACCTTCAAGGTTTAGGTTAGAGGTTGACTGTCTTGCTGACATTCTGTATTTGTTAGGTATGGATTGGGATCATTTACCAACAAGCAGTGCTAACAGTGAGCAGTCCTGGCTTAGAGGCTATCCTCTGCAGTAACTGCAGAAACCCAGTGTAGCACTCACCTGGGCTGGTGCAGGATAGGGTAGATGTGGAAAATGCCTGGTGGTGTGAGGTGGTAGGAGCCACAGGGGCATGTTCAGCCTGACAAACAGGATTGTGCTGGAGTTTGAGGCCAGAGACGACATGGGCTGAGATTGGGAAGGTGATTAGGTAGGTGTTAGCACAGATCCCTGCAAAATAGTACAGGCTCTTGCAGGTGTTGCCTTTAGGGTAAAGCTGCTGCAGGGAGGCATCAGATACTCCTAACTGAAACTCCCACAGCCAGGGAACACTTGTAGGAGAGGTCTGCTCTGAAATTGAAGGGTGAGGAAAGGAAGGACTAGATAGATCTAGGCTGCCTCTGTTCAAGTCTTTGAATGTGTACATTTTGTTCCTTATTAAAAGATCCGTGCTCACCTTCACTATTACTAAGGCTCTACTGGGTTTCAGTTACCAGAAAACACTCTTTGATTGTACAGGTAATGAACTTCAAAGTTCAAAGAGAGGTGGCCAGACCCTTGCTTATCTGTGCTAAGGAAGGAGGTGGTCATCTGAAGGAAGAGTTGTATCTCCTTCAGATGCTGGGAGAAAATGTGACCCCAAGGCTCTGGTCTGATGTAAAAGCTTACAAGGAAAGAGAGGTTTTGCCTTGCTAAGGGCAGGATAAAAGGCTGATTGTATTCACCAGTCAGGTGCTAGGGCATCAACATCATGGAAAAATCCACAGTGGGAGCATAGGATTTCATCAGAGGTAAATGATGTCTTGGCTGCTGGGTCTTTCTTTTCACTTTATATTTACAGTTCGGTCAATGGGGATGAAATGTGTTAGATGTGCCTGGTCCAGAGCTGCCTGGCAGCGGGAGCTCCAGCTGCACAATAGTTTTATATTTGAGAAAAGGTGAACTCCTTTATGTCCCAGTTTTGGCATGCTGCTCTGTGTGCTGCCATCCTGCTTCCTCACCAGGCCAAAAGGGCTGTGAAGGCAAACGTTCCCACTTGTTTGTTCCCATGATTTCTCACTGGTACAGAGATGATGAGGTAGGGGAAGCAGCACTCACTTCTCAACCCAGATAGTCCAAACTGCTGAGGAGGGAAACATACAAACTGGCCTGTCCCGTGGCAGGAAGCAGAACCCTTCCATGTTGAAGGGAGCCACTGTCAGGTGTGTTAGCTCCTGAAACCTTCCATCTGGTTGCAGTCATTGAGAGAGCCCTCTACATACTGCTGCTGTCCATCCATCCTTCTTGAGGTGCTGTCAGAATGAACAGAGGGGAACATGCCTTCATCAGTTGTGGCAGGAGCTCTTCTGTGTAGAATCAAAAGCAACTATTTTTACTTCAGCAAGGCTTAGGATTCCTTTTGAACACTTTTTTATTTAAGCAAAATTGTTTCATCTCAGGTGAGGATGTAATTTTGACCGGATGCCAGTTCCTCATAGCTAACACTGCAGCTTCTTTAGGAATGAAAGTATTTGTCCCATAGCTTCTGCAAGTTCATTAATCAGTGATGATTCTGAAGCTTGTCCTCTGCTCACTCACCCAGCTAAAAGACAGCTCATTTCCCAGGTAAATGACTGTCAGTGCTCCGATTGTCTGTTTTGACTTAGCTTCTGGCTTTGCACTGACTTTCACACCAGCCATAGACCCTTTTTTAAGCAGCCTTGTTAACATGTGGTACTAGAAGAGGAATTCGGAGGTCTGGAATTCAGTTGAGGCTTTTTTTCGTGTTGCCTGTACAATGAGGGATTTCAGTGCTTGTTCAAAGCTGCATAACTCCACTTTCTGAAGGTTAGCAGCCCAGATCCTCACATCTTCTGAAGTAACTTGTCCTCTCAGGTGACTGAGGGAAAAAATCCAATGCAGCTGCCCTTTGTAAAGAGGGAAGCTTGAGAAAATGTGAGTAGCAGCAGGTAATTGAATGCCACTTTTTATACCTTCAGTATGCAGGCAACTTAAAGGTAAGGCTGTTGCTGGTCACACTCATCTGCCAGCAGCCCTGCAGGGCTTACCCAGCTGCAGTGACATCCAGAGATCAGGAGGAATATACTTGCAGCAGGGAGCTGTGGGTGAATGCTTCAGGCTGAAGATCACTGACCAGTGACTGCCTGCTGGTGCCCCATTTGATGAGCCATGCTGGCCTTCACTGTCGCCAGTGCTGCAGCTGTACTGCTTGCATAGAAGATGGTTGCATAGTGTGAGGTGTCTGCCATGGGTTTTAGCTTCCTAGGGCCTGCCCTCTGTGTCAAATCTCAAGAAGCCTCATCTGCACCCTGGCTACAAGAGGAAACCAGCTTTATTCCCACCAGTTGCCAAACTACAACAGGAGTAAGCATTTAAATAATCTCCAAAACCCAGAGATAATCCAGACAAGGGGAAGGGATGGAAAGCAGGAACAAAACCAACCCTCCAGTATGAGTCACTCGTAAGTGAAGATGATTTCAAGCAGGCCGTACACTCCTTGACAAAGGGGAGCATGAGGGAAGGTGGCTGGTTTACAAGGGGTGCCTCTTTCCTTCGCATGAAAGGGAGCATTCAATTGCCTTGTGGTGAAAAGCTTTTGGTTCTTGCCTGGGGTGGAGCAGGCTGTGGGGACACCCACACGCAGGCACCCGGGACTTGCTGTCCACAAGTGCAGAACGATAAGACACCTCCTGAATGCAGAAGTCCTGGGCCCTGCCAAGAGCCCATGTGAACTTCAGAGTGCATCTGTTTGACGTCACTCTGCATCTTGCAGGGCGTGGGGGGGCTTTTTCCTGTCGGCCTTAGAGAGAGTCCAAATGGGAGTGAGGATTGAGCACAACCAGGACTGATGTCGAGTGTTACCTATCCGCTTGGGGTCTGAGAAGGCGTGGTGCTCCCAGACGTAATAGTGGCTTGTCCCTGCTATACCTGACAGCATGTGCATTAGGTTATTGCTCTCATTTGCTGCTGGAGGAGCCTCTATTGCCTGTGTAGAAGACTTCCCTATAGCTGGCTACGAAATGCCCCCTCTTCCCATATGGTTATCCAAGCTGGCCCACAGATATCTTGTGGGAATATTTGCAGACTGCAGCCATGTATCTGATGGGGGGCTGTAGGGATGCTGGGGAGGGACTCTTCATTAGGGACTATAGTGATAGGACAAGGGGCAATGGGTTAAAACCTAAACAGGGGAAGTTAAGATTGGATACGAGGAGGAAGTTCTTTACTGTGAGGGCAGTCAGGCACTGGAATGGGTTGCCCAGGGAAGTTGTGAATGCTTCATTCCTGCTGGTGTTCAGGGCAGGGATGGACAGAGCCTTGGGTGAGATGGTTAATGTGAGGTGTCCCTGCCTATGGCAGGGGGGTTGGAACTAGATGATCTTAAGGTCCTTCCCAACCCTAACTATTCTATGATTCTGTGATTCTGTATTTCCTAATCAAGCTGTTATGTATTCACCCAGTACATATTGCCTCCTGTAAGGTGGCTGTGGGAGGCAGGCATTGCTTGGTGCAGGAGTTTGGCAAATACCAGTTGGATTGACAAGGGCTGTTGTTGTTTTTTTCCCCTCAGAATACTCTCTTACAACAACCTCACCAGGCTGGATGAGGGAAGCTTGGCAGACCTTGGGGGACTGCACGTGCTACGACTGAGCCACAATTCCATCAATCACATTGCTGAAGGTGCTTTCAAGGGACTCAAAAACCTGCGTGTCCTGTAAGTCACTCTGTCAGCTAACACATACCTTCCCTCCACAGTTCACGTTCTGCCAAACTCTTCTGCTTTGCAATTGCTTTGGGTGCCCGTGAGATGGAATCTAGCCCAACTGAGCAAAACCCCCTGAGGTTTCAGACCTTCAGCTGACAGTGGCATTTCTCTTGCTATTTAATTGAACTTCATCAAATTCATAGAAATGGACCATTTCTATGGTTGGGTCATTCTGTGCTCAGGAGGAATAGGGAATGATTCCTACCACTGACAGAGCAGTCTTTTCAACCAAGGGAGCAAGAAGCTGTTGCAGGTACCATGAGAGTAATCTTTCTGTCTTTCTTTCTCTTTGGTGCAGAATTGGGCTCACTTGGGTCATGAAATGTTCTGTGGATCTGATTTTCATGGTAACCCCTGAACAACAAAAAGGTAGTCGCCATGGTATCAGAAGAAAAGTTTCATGTGCCCTAATACTGAATTGCCAGATGATCCATCCATCGTTGGCTGTGGCCATTGCCTAGAGACTTTTAAAGTCATTGACACAAAGTAATACTTGGAAAGGAGCTTGCTTGACTGGATACCAGCTTCTGAGATACTTGGGCTGGTAGAGACCATTAGATCAGTCTGACCTCCTCTGGTATGGCAGCTGTAGAACTGTACTATTACACACCGTTAAACCCAACAGTAGATTGAAGAAGATCTGGGCTTGCCTTAGAAACATCAGAAGATGGGGAGTCCGATACTAATAATTGTCCATTCCTGCAGCTGTGTTGCCTCATTCCCCCTTATTTGTAGCTGCTGAGCTGATGGCTGCTGTCCTGCAGGGGCTGTGAGCTCAGCACCTTCAACTGGCACACCTCAAAGTTCTCACAGTCTGCATTACAGCACCCTCCGCGCTCCCAGGCTGGTTGAGTTCAGCCTGATTCAATTCTTTCTTCAAAAGAGAAAAGAAACCCCAATACTTCTGTTCCTTTTCAGAAGCCCATTGTGGCCTGAGTGATTAAAAAGAAATGGGAATAGAGAGGTCTCCCCTCTTTGCAGTACATTTTGCATCTTACTCTTTCCTTTATTGAAGTTCACAGTGAAGGAAGTGACTGGAAAGTGAGTTTGGGTTTTGTTTGCTTTTTATTCCCCCCCTTTTCTTAAACTGAAGCCAAAGCCTTTCAGGCACTGGGCATTCAGAAAGGGAGCTCTCTGAGGCAGCTGTCAAGACCGGAACTAAAGGTTTCCAAAGAAAAATGGAGGGGAAGGGGAGCTGGTAGTTCTCTTTGCTCTGCAGTGAATGTGGAGACTCTTTCATGTCTAGGGCAGAGGGGGGAGGCGGAGAGGAGGGGAGTGTGTGAGTGAGCTCTAATTTAATAAAGAGAAAGGCCTATTGGGTCCTGCACCTGGTGAAAAAGACCCGAGCATGCTTTAATTATGGGCTATTGTTGGGGAGCCTTTGGTGGGTGTGAAACTGCTGAAATGTGGAGCTATTCAAATAGAGGTCAGGCCCGGAGACCTTGCAGCACAATGATTAACAAGGCTGCGAGCATTCAAGCTCAGCCAGCCAGAAAGAATAGGAAATTGGCAACAGGGCTGGGAGAGGAGTTTGAATACAAAGAGAACCAGGCCAAAATACCCCACTCTTTTTTCTCTTCTCTCTATTTTCACTCATTTGTTAAAAAGGTTTTTATTCCTCCTTTCGAGCACTAAACCTTTGAGTTGCCTCTGGATGAACAAGCAGTCCCATTTTCTTTTCCTTTCTCAAGAAAAGACAATGTGTGGTAGTCAGTTAATAAAAGTGTGTGTCAGGGAGCTTCTACAGCCTGTTCCCACTTGTCTGTTTCTGCCATGGGAAAGGGTTTGTTGGCCCAAAGACCAGTAGCCCGTGGTGGAACTGAAGAGGAGAAAAGTCTGAGAAGGGATTTGCCCCTGTAAACCAAACAGAACAACAGTCATTGGCTTGACAACCACAGGGGAAATACAGAAACTTAGCTCCAGGAAGATGCATTTGCTCCTGCCCCGCTCGGGTGGTGCTGAAAATGTCAGCACATCAAAGAGTCTCTCTTGGACTTGTCTCTTAGGCCACCACAGCATTATGTGCACCCATACCCCATGGGGATGTCGAGTTTTATCCATTCCTTTGGCATAGATCACCCTGACATCCACAGTGAGACCAGGGTTCCCCAGGGACATGAGAGTTGGGTCTCATGCTGAAGCCAGCTGAGATGCAGGAATTGTGGCTTTTGGCCATCTCCTTTCACATCTTTAGTTCTCACACCAAAGCTGGGAAACAAGCAGAGTCTGCAGTAGCTTAGGTACGGAGAGCAGGAATCTGAGCCCCATCTCTGCCAATGCTGAAACTGGGGGAGTTCTTCCTTTTCTGTTCTCCTGTGGGTTACTCTGTATTGGTGCTGCACAGCCCAGAAGCTGCTCTATGATGCCCATGTCTGGCATGGTGCAAAATGCAGGGGGTTTGTTTCTTCTTTTTTGATCTTCTTATTTTAAACTGGAAATGTTCTGATAATGATCTTCAAAAGGTGCAAAAGGAGTAGCTGAGGGTTCACGGGGGTTATCTGGGTGGTGAAGTTTACTTTTATTGTGGGGTTTTGCTGGGTTTTCAATCCGAGTGATGTAACAAAACCAACAAAGCCTATTTATTTTTTCTTCCTTTCTTTGTACTTCACACTAGAAATGATGAATTTCTGTCTGTGTTGCTGGGTGTTCATTGCTTGCTGGAATTAAAGCTGGGAGGGAAGGATTTTTAGACTGTTTAAACAGCTTTTGTGGATCTCTGTGTTTGTTCTGGGTGCTTGTTTTTCTTCAGACCTCTTTGACTCGTGTAATTGATGGTCAGTTTGAAAGCCAAAAGAAGCTCATTCTGAAAAAGGAATTCTTACTCTTTCTTTTTTGTTTAAAGTGGTTATACAGAGAGTCAGATTCCTGGGGGGGGGGGGGGAATGTGTGTGTGGGGGTGTGTGATGGTGCTTTCCCTTGTTGAGCTTTCAAGTTCATTGCCAGAAAAAAATGCAGCTTTATATAGAAAATACACCAAATCATCTTCCTCTATAAACCAACACATTGGAATAGCCAAAATTATCTCAATTCATGATAGTAATGTTTAAATACAGCTGTTTCATTTAGTTTTGGGGACTTTGTATATTCTTTCCTCCTTCTGTTCGAATGCACAGAATCAGAAAAGAACTGAACCCTACTTGTTAAAAAGCAGCTATTGTGCCGCTGCTGCTGTCTCAGAAACAGGGTTTTAGCTAGGAAAAAGCCAAAATTCTCTTTGGAATGCACCATCTCAGCATGGATCAGTGCAGGACAACTGGTTAGTGCTGCTTTGCTGCAGGACTCTGCTTTTTCTGGTAACTGACAGGAGGAAAAGGGAAGCTCTTTGCTGTAGCATTCTCAATCTTTCTTCCTTTTGTTTTAACTGGTGAGCCTGGGACTGAGACATTGATGATGAGCTCTCTCTTGTCCTCTCCCCAGGGAACTGGACCACAATGACATCTCGGGCACAATAGAAGATACCAACGGAGCCTTTACAGGCCTAGAAAACCTGAGCAAACTGTGAGTATCCCTGGGTTTGAAGTTGTGCAAAGCAGTTGTGTTGTGTGTGGGCCTCTCCCCTCCGATGCAGCCCTCATCCCTTTGCAACAAGATAAAACCCATCAGAAAATCTGAGCTTTAGTAATTTTGCAGGCTCTCTGCAAGAGTGCAGATGTGGTTATCAAGCACTTGTGTTTCTAACCAGATACGAAGCCATTGTAGTCCTTTTAAAGCAGTGAACAGCCAGTGCCACATACTGTAGTTCAGAGACACAGGAGAGAGAATCTTAAGTTGTTTTCATCTGTCAGATTCAGCACAACTGTTCCTTCTAAAACTAAACAGCAACAGAAAAGACCCCTCGCAGTCTTCAGCGAAGCACTGATTGATGCAGCAAGTAACAATAAACAGAAGAGAAAAATCACCCCACTTCCTGTTACAACAGAGGATTGAAACAGGATTCGTTTCTGTGGGATACTCTGAGAGTGATCTTTTGGGCTTGCTTCCATGTGCAGCGACAATAAAAGGCACCATGGGGCACAGGCTCTTATAGAGATAAAAAGAAACCTAAGGCAAGCATGCGCCTTGCAAATGTTTATAGCTCGCTTGGCTTTCGCAAGTATTTTCACATTGCTCTGTACTTGTTCGTGTTCCATTTGAAATCAGCTCTGTAAATCAGCCCTGTCAGAGAAGTCTCTGATGGCTTGTGACAAATCAAGAGTCTCTAATCATTACCTCTTGCTTTTGTTTAAGTTCTCAGCACCCCCCTATCACGCTGTCTCTGATGCCGAGATGGCACAGCCAGAGGTGCAGTAAAAGTACCTCGATGGATAGCAGATGGCTAGAATGAATCCTGGCAGGCGGTATATTGTCATGCTCTCATTAGAGACTCCTGGGGGAGTGGGAAGAGCCAGGGCAGGATTCCTGGGGAATTTGGAGTCACAGACATAGGTGGCATTTGATCATTGCTGAGGGGAGTGCCTGGATCCAAGGAGAGGGGAGCTAAGTTGTAGCTGCAAGTGAGGCAGAAGGCAGAGGACTTTGGGCATGGAGAGTCAGGCAAGGAAGTAAAAGAATTGTGGGAGAGCAAGAGGCCAGTAGGAATTGCTGTGCACGTGGAGTTGGGAAATCTTCCCACGAGTTGCTGGAAAAAAGGCAGAGGAGCAGATGTGTTGGGTAGGAGAATCCTTGGCTGCTGTTGCTGAAGTTTCTGGTTTGAAGAAGGCAGTGAAGCCATGTGAGTAGCTAGAAGGGTAGTGGGAGCACAGGCTCCCAGAGGGATTTGCAGGCTATAAGATTGTGAGCCTGTAGTGCTGATTTGGCAAGGAAAGAAGGTAGAGGAAAGGAGCAGATAGACAGAGCTCTCCTGGTGGGACGTGCGCTGTAGGGCATCCCTTCAGTGTGGCACTGACATGGGAGCAAAAGTGGCGATCCCAAGCCACTGAGATGTGTTAGAAATGCTGGTGCAGATAATAGGGGAGAGGTGAAAAAGCCAGAGGAGAGAACACTGGGGGAAAGAGTTCAGCAAAAGGATTGACTCAGCAACCCTGAGCAATGAGCACTGATGAGCTGTTGCGGGGGTCAGGCAGGGGCCAGGAGGTACTGCAAGGAGCAGGAGGAGGAAGGAAAGGAGCAGGGGCAGCCACGGGGTTGTGCAGGTTGTGTGCTTGGAGCTCTGGGCAGAAGCTGGAGCTCCCCAGTGAAACAGCCATGGCTTGATATGATCTGTGTTTGTCATCTGGAACAAGGTACAGCTCCAGAGAGGGCAGGTTTTCTCTGCTGGTAGCAAAGGATGCACTAAGGGCTTGATCAAGTCTAAAGAAGTTGGGTTTGCATCTTTATTCATGTTTCCTGTCCTTCGTTGCACATACATGTTCAGTCAGTCCCGAGTCTGGCTGGGCACAGGGAAGGACATGGTTTGTGGGGGCGGTAGCAGCAGATTTCATAGCTTGGAAGAGCGTGTGGATCAGGTTGGTCTTGAGCAGACAGGAGTGAATCATAGAATAGTTAGGGCTGGAAAGGACCTTAAGATCATTTAGTTGGTTTGATTATCTAACAGAGCAAACCTGCTGTGGGCCAGACAGGGTGCTGGGATTGTTCATTATCAGGCAGAGTGTAAGGCTAGAAAAACCCTTAGAATACGAGAATTACTTCATTGTATTTCTTGAGGTGTTTTGGGGACACTTGAGTTTTGGGGACACGAGAGTAGTCACTTTTAAAGGGATCTGCTCAGGTCTAGTTTAGCTCATCTGCATGTAAATCCCAAACTCTTAAGGCTGAAGTGAGTATCCTTCTTCCTGGTAAATACCAGCCTTTACAGCAAACATTTCACTGTGTGATTTAGGGCCCCTGTTTAAACTGTCAGCCACCTTTAGCATTAGCATTAGCACAGAGAAAATAAATGGGCACTTCAGAGGAGACCTTCCAATGAATTAATAATCACCTCAGCTCTGTGGAGATTGCCTTAAAAGCCGTTCCCCTTTGATATGGCACAGATTAGCCTCTGAAAGGATTTAGTGCAGAGAGGGCTGTTGGCTGAAATGAAGGTGTTAAACTGAGAGGTGGGGAGGCCAGTCACTTCAGCCTTCCCTGCATTATATATGAAGCTCCCCGGGATGGAGAGCACAGCTAAATTAAAATGTTGCTTCAAGAAAGAGGGAGTCGGGAGGCACCGAAGCAGAAAAAGCAGCAGTGGAATCGCCAGGGAAGGACAGGTTCCCTAATGCTTCAAGCTGCTAAATGTAGCCGGTTTGTTGATGGCTTACTCAGTGCCTGAGCTCTTCCTGCAGGTGCAAAACTGGCTGGAGGAGAACATGCTGCTTTCTAATGAACTGCTGTGTGCCTAGCGTGTAATTACACTTACGCAGTCACTGGGAGAGCAGGCTTGTGCCCAGCTCTGCCCACAGCAGAGGAGCGTTCCTGGGCTGCAGCAGGCTAATTGTGGAGCTGCATACCACTGCCTTTGCATTCCAGCCTGCCACAGCCCTTTGAAGGGGGCCGCTGGGTTCAAACCATTCCAGAGTGGGAGTTGAAATTTGAAAGGTATCATGATTTTAATGAGTTCGCTGGGGCATGGCTTTGTTAACAGTGTCTTGTGTGTTTCTCATGCATGGAGCCATCAAACTGTACGCACCTTGTAGACAAGTGGTGTCTACATTGTGTAGTCACATCCGCAGACATCCTGCTTATCTCTGCATGGATAAATGGACAGATATAATTGGTATCTGATTTTCAAACTCAGGAACCCACCGTAAACAAGAAATAGAAATCTCCAGTTACCAAACCCAGGCTCAGCACGACACCCTCATTTAGGAATATGGCTCCAGAAATTAGTGTGTATGGATGCAGGCACCACCCAGCGTTTGCATATAGTAAATTATTTACTATAGTAATCATTTTAATGGATATTTCAAAGCCTTCGTTAATACAACATCATTTTTAGCAAATGATGGTACACACATGATTGCACACAGCCTTTTGGTGCTTAGGATATTTCATCCGAACCAAAAAGCCAAACTCTGATGCAGTAAATAGGATTCTGCCTGTAGGAGAGAGCTTCAAGTGTGCCTCACCATAGAGGCTGGGACATGGCTTTGGCTGAAGCCAAAGCTTTTGGTTGTGTTTTGCTCTAGATGTACAACATTAGTGATTCTGGGGCTATAGACCTTTTGTGTGGAGATGGGAGTTTTCTGTCTACTCAGTCATTAGAGTGGTGGCTCGTCTGATGATACCACCGTCAGTGTGATTGGTTTTGTGAGGACCTACTCAGGGTCATAGTGATGCCCAGTGCCAGGCACCCAAATTCCCTCCAGAGGCAAGAGGCTGCAAGGGCAGACTGTGAAACAGTCTCAGTCCTCACTGTCCTATGGTGTGACAAGCCCTAGTTTTCCTTTCTACCCATTGTGGCATCCACTGCTTCATCCACACAGAATTTGGGCTTTCTGGGTGCCAGTGTTGAGACACCAAATTACCCTGACATTGGAAGGGTGCTTTGTGGAAAGCCCCAACAAGCTCCTGCAAATGTATTTGCTCATGTAAGGGCTGCACATGCTTCATCTTGTATCCCAGCCAGTAGCAAGTGGAGGCACCATCATAGTTTTAGAGCCTTTTAGGGTTGTGGATGTAGGTTGGACTCGAAGGAAAAGTTTTGAAGGAAAGCTCAAATCAAATGCAGCACCAGATGTGCAGGTTTTAACCTGAGGTGTTAGCAGTGACTTGCACTGGACACCATGTGGATGATAAAAGCATGCACCTGAAAGCCAAACCTTAGAGAAGAAGCATGTCCTGATTGATGACATTGGTTGATGTTTTATTAAAGCAGGTGAGGACACTGTCCATTTTGCACAGGTCCTGCCCTTGGCCAATCACCACTGGTCAATATTTATAGAGAACTGTTACTCTGCAGATAGCAGCTGCCTGTGATGGTTCCAGCTGGCTTTTGCCTGCTGGTAAGTCCGCTTGTGCTGCTGCGTAGCACTGTGCTGATTCAGAGGAATGCTCCCTGGTCACAGATGCAAGCAAGCACGCTCTGCAGCTCTGTACAGTAACTTTTCTTCCTTCTGGCTTCCACTTGGCTATTTATTATTGTATATATCATTGTATATATTATTATCAGGTCAGATATAAGGAAGAAGTTCTTTACTGTGAGGGTGGTGAAGCACTGGAATGGGTTGCCCAAAGAAGTGGTGAATGCTCCATCCCTGGCGGTGTTCAAGGCCAGGCTGGACAGAGCTTTGTGCGACATGGTCTAGTGTGAGGTGTCTCTGCCCATGGCAGGGGGTTGGATCTTGATGATCTTAAGGTCCTTTCCAACCCAAGCCATTCTATGATTCTATTACTCTGGTATTGTATTTATAATAAGCCAAGGAAGGAAGTCAGCAGTCATTTCAGTGAGCTGCTGTGTAAACATGCAGCCAAGAGCCAGCCCTCAGCCCTGGTGTGTGATGTCCGTTCAGGCCAAGCAGCAGTGAATAAATTACCACTCTTTTACTATCTGGGAAGAAGTCAGAAATGAAAAGTGTTGCAGGGAGAGACCAAAACCTTGTTAAACTGTCATTGCACTTAATCCTGTCCGCAGCCAGCCTCCGAAGAATAGAGGGGACCTTCTGTTACTCAGCAAGCTGGCTTCCAAGCACTGGAGCAAACCTGCCTTTTTACATGATACGGCACATTCCCTTTTGTGCTGTCATCACTATTAAATTCAAATACAGATAAAAGGGTTTAATTTCAGGCGCGGGAAAGCGAGTGTACTTCAGCCCTCTTAATCCCTACACAGTTCAGATTTCCCAGGATTTACACTGAGCGCATATATCAGATAAAGCCCCACTAATTGTGTCCCTTCTCTTTTTCTGCCCCCCCAATTTTCTTTCTGTTTATCTGGCACTGGATGTTTGGAAACTGCAGAACTCTGTTTGGAAACAAGATCAAGTCCGTGGCCAAGAAAGCGTTCTCAGGGTTGGAGGCCCTGGAGCACCTGTGAGTAACCCACCATGCCGCAGAGCTTGGGAAAGGGGGGTCTGCCAAAAGGAGCTGCTTGAGAGATCTGCTAGCAATTTAATAGTGTCTTTGTAAACTGAGAAGCCAGTCCATTTGTGGGGGCCACCTGCTTCCTTCTCATTATAAGTCTGCCTCAACTTTGGCCTTTTTTTGTGCCAGGAACAAAGTTACAGAACATATGGCAAATCTGCGTGCTCTTAATTTTGTGATTTGTTCCTGGATAAATATCCCCCTGACTTGCGCATTGTAGGCTGTTAGCACTGAAAATACTCAATTGCAGATGTAGCCCTCTTCTCCTCCATTGCCCCGACTCCCTCCTGACCCTAGGCTCTCTGGCAGTGACACTTCTTGCACATGACTGTTTATGGTGCGGGCACTGAACGTTCCCATTCAGCACAACTGCATTACAGTGATTTGCAGGAAGCACATTTTGGCTACCAGGATGTCATTTCTTTCCTGTGTCCCAAGGCTGATGACTCCAGCAGTAATTCAGGGATAATCTCCTTTCTGAATGAAGCCAAGTTAAAGTATATGTGATATTGCTCTAGATGTTTTATTGGCTGTTGATGGTATGAAATGTGATGACCATTGAGAGCATACTGAAGGGTTAGGGCTGCCTGGCTTGGGGGATACATTCCCAGATAAAAGGTTCCCTTACTTTAATACTCTACTGAGATTTCCTCTGCAAGCAATGCTTGTCTGTCCTGCACTTGAGCCCTAAATCTGACACTGTCCTTTTTCAGAAGACAAGTGAGTTTTTCAGTCAGCAGTGGTTGTGAGGGAAGCCTTTAAGAACACCTTCTTTTGGAAACATTGCAGTGGTTTTCAGACACAGCAGAAATGTCACTTTCAAATAACTTTTCAGATGCCGTTTAGTGCAAGTATTTGCTTTCTTTATGTTTGCTGAAGGTCTAGCCTGGAATACGACATTCCTGACTATCTTTGGTTATCGAGGGGCCTGAGGAATTTCTGAGCTGTGGAAGATGGAGGTAGCTGAGGCTGAGGAAGTGTAGTGAGAAGCTGGGGTATGGAATGACTTAGTGATTCATTCCCATCATTTTTGTTGGTTGTCTATTGTTCAGCAATACTCAACATTGAAGTGTTTTGTGGAAAACCATTTCTATGAACTACAAGTGCATATGGCCTTAAGAGAGCTGCTAAATTACTTGGTGCTGGAGTCATTGCTTAAATCTGGAGAGCCTTTGCAATAAGCATAGCACCCCTTTTGTTCACATTGCCTTTGGTTGTGTTGTGCAGGAACCTCGGGGATAATGCCATCCGCTCCATTCAAGCAGATGCCTTTGCCAAGATGAAGAGCCTGCGGCAGCTGTAAGTAACTGCACTGTGCACACCATTAACGTGCAGGGATCCTTCTTGCCCTGGACGTGAGAAGTAGAACATTGTTTCCACTGGGGAGTTAGCCACTTTGCAGGGTATTTTTACACACAAGTAGATAGATGTCACGGGAACATCTTACGTTTAATAGTGAGTGAAATTAGATCATTGAACAGGTTCTTCCAGCACGTTTGCGTCTGTGCAATTATTCATCTCCGCTCAGGAAGTCCGGCCCTGGTCCTGTTGGCCATCTCTCCTTCTCACAGTGCCACTGATTTAGTTCCCAGTGGCCCCTCTGCTCCTTTGCTGTACCTGTGTTTAGGGTTCACAGCCAGCACTGACATTTCAGTGATAAGCACCATTTGAACTGGATGCACTTGTCATCCAGCCTTCTGGTGTAAAAATACGGATGTGTTATCAGAGCTGCTGCTTGTGCTCCAGGCTCCAGGCCGGGGCTCTGCACTGTTATCAGACACTGTTCCCTGTCTTGCCTGGTTTCCTGTTCTCTTCTTCTCCATAAATATTTAATCCACCATGAGTGCATTGCTACACTGGAGTAGTGCAGTGGCTGTGGAACAAGAAATCACTGATTTGGTATTTGGGCAGGTTCAGATTCTTCTTCCTGATGTTGGAAATGGGAATCTGATGGTCGCTATTAGCAGTGACATTTAATACCAGTGACTTGGGAATGAATAAGACAAACATTGCATGTCCAGTGTTTGTTTAACCACCTTATCTTTTGCAGTGGCTCTTGAAGCAAAATTGAGGTGAAAGATTAATCTTGTTAGAGAAGAACTTGTGGGATCTCACATATTGTGAAGGAACCTTTATACCATGGAGAGGGTGTCAGATATGGGCATATACATGCAGAATGCATTGTACTGGTGTCTTAAATACTAAGGGTCTCTCTGAGCTTTCCCAGCTATGAGCAGTGTTTATGCCATCATGTTTATGCCATCTGTACACCTTTGTAGAAGAGCAAAGTGAACAACTTTGGAGAATCACATCCCTGTGTTCCCTCGTTCCCTCCCTCTCCAGTCCAGTTCTTTCCCCTTTCCTGGCTAGTTTCAGACTACAGGATTTCCTGAGGTTATCGGGTAGACAAATCGGAGACTTGCATCTTCTTAACAGCGCAGTGCTGGGATTGTACTGTGCTCTTAATATCCTGCTGTGTTCAGTATGACTGTTCAGTAACCACGTCCTCAATTCAGTCCTCACCAAGTATGCTCAAACCTCAGAGGTGGAGAAGGAGCATGAGTGGTAATTAGATAGGAGAAGTGGGAGCAGTACTGTTGACTTGTGCCTCTGCTGCGTGTCTCCTTTGTAGATGACCTGCCTTAGTTTCTCTCACTTCAGCCGGGGCTGGCATTGCTCATCTCTTCCTGGGGATCGCTCTGGAAATTGATTAATAAATATAAGGCACTAGGGAGTGTCACTGGAGAGCAGGAATGGGATGCTCCGTGCGGAGATGAAATGCTGTTTAAATGTGGTGTGCATTTAACATCATTAGTGCCTCGAGGACAACCCTCCAGTCCTTTTCTTCCTTCCACCCATGCTGGGAGGGGAGGGAGGAATGTGTCTTAACATGAAAAGGCTGTGAGGACTCACAGCAGGCTTGTGTTGGTTCTGTTCCCCTGCAGCCACATAAACAGCGACAGCTTCCTCTGCGATTGCCAGCTGAAATGGTTGCCCCAGTGGTTAGTGGAGAAGGAGCTGCAATCCTTTGTGGTGGCCACCTGCGCCCATCCTGAGTCACTGAAAAGCAAGAGCATTTTTGCCATCCTGCCAGAAAGTTTTGTGTGTGGTAAGTGCTGCCTCTGTGTTCTGAGGTTGTACCAGGGGTAGGACTCACTTGGGAAGCATTTTCTTTGCCTACTGGTGTGTTATTCCGGGAGGGATTCTGTTTTGGTTTGTTATTCCTTGGGATCAAAGCAAGCCCAAGCCTGCACTTTAGAAATTTGTCATTGGCTACAATTTATTTCCCACCAAAACCACACAGCCCATTGCTTGCATCAGGGTATTCCTTACAGCGCTCCCGGAGTATTCAATCAAAAGGGACTAATGCTTGTTCCAGTTCCAGATGGGGCTGCACAGAGGTTTCCCTTGGTGTGATACTACCAAGACTGCAGCTGTAACTTTTGCACTCTGCAGTGTTCTGAGCTGCTTCTGTGGCTTTGTGTTCTGCACTCGTATTTTCTCCTTGTTGGAGATAACAAAGGGCTAGAAAAACTGGAGGAGAATCTGTCCATCATAGCTCCTTTTTGGACCAGTAAAGCATTAACATGAACCTAACAGCTGACATTATAATCTTCTTTTATTTTCTTTTCTCCTATGGTTGGTTTTAGTTCTAACCAGCACCTACTGCTGTTCTCCCACCCAAACACTGCAGTTGGCTCTGCACCTGAGCTGTGGTTCCAAAGCAGTTTTAGTTAATACCCAGCACACACAAACCTCTGCTACCTCTCTCATAAAGAAGTGTAAGTGATCAGAGGAGGCCACAGTGCTGCTGCTCATGCATCCAGCTTTTGGGGAATATAAAGGCCAGGTTTGGTGAGCCATACCCTGTGTGTGCTGTGGAGCCAACCAGTGTGGATCCTGGGTGGAGCTGCACATGGCTGTTTGATGAAGGAAAACTGAGCCTTTGAAAACACTGTTTAACCAAGTGGAATGCATGACTGGCATTGAACATGGAGCAGAAGCTTTGTTCCAGGTGTTGTCTCGTATCCCTCTTGATCCCAGAATGGCAGGGCTCTGCTTAGGTGGCCTCTGTCTGAGCGCGTCTGGGAGGCTTGTGGTGTTCCTCTGGAAGAAGAGATTGTGAAGGCTCCATTGCCACAGCAACATCACAAAGCGAAGACAGCTTTGCTTCTCCAGCGCCTGCCAAGTCCTCCAGGCACTAGTACTCCTGCTTCCAGAGGCCTGGCTGCTTAATTAAGCTTTAGTCAAATATTAAATTACACCATTTGTAGAAATCTAATAAATGAATCTGCTTGGAACCTTGCTAAAACCAACAATCTTCAGGGCAGAGACAGAGTGTGCAAAGCTTTCCACCCCAGATGGGTGACAGGCAAATACAGCTGCTTCTGCTTTGACAGTATGTGCTGATTGGAATCACAGTGTCGTTTGGGTTGGAAGACACCTTTACGATCATTGAGTCCAACCGTTAACCCAGCACTGCCAAGTCAGCCACTAAACCGTGTCGCTAAGTGCCACATCTGCCTGTCTTTTAAGTACCCCTGGGGATGGTGACTGCACCATCAATGCTTGACAGTGCTCTGTTCTTTCAGATGACTTCCCCAAGCCACAGATCATCATCCAGCCCGAGACAACAGTGGCTGTCCTTGGGAAGGACATCCGATTCACTTGCTCGGCCGCCAGCAGTAGCAGCTCCCCCATGATGTTTGCATGGAAGAAAGACAACGAGATGCTGTACAACGCTGAGATCGAGAACTTTGCCCACGTGCGGGCAAAGGATGGCGAGGTGATGGAGTACACCACCATCCTGCACCTCCGCCACGTCACCTTTGCCCACGAGGGGCGTTACCAGTGTATCATCACCAACCACTTTGGCTCTACGTACTCCAACAAGGCCCGACTCACTGTTAATGGTGAGTAGGAAGCTGCTTTCTTGTTGCATTCCTCAGCCTGAGCTGGTACAGTTCTCTCACACCCGCTTTTGGACTCCCGAGGGTCCATTCCCGATGGTGTGGAGCTCTTAACCCCTTCACACAGCTGTTTGCATCTCAGTGGATGCTGAGAAATGCCACGTGAGGACCAGATGCTGGGCTTGTGATGGCTGCCATCCAGCCAAGCACTTCAGCACATTCTTAATGGCTTTAGCTGCTTCTCTTTGGCTGTTCTGGTAGAGTCTTTGCCTAATGGAATGGCAAAATGAAAATACCAAAGGGTACAAAGAAGAGGGGCTGTAGTGATTGAAAGTTCTTTGTAGGAGAGATGATGGGGTTTCTTTCCAGGTTAATGGCAGAAGAAAATCAGCTTTGATCTCAGCTCTAATGACCCTGAGGGGGGTGGGGGTGGTGGTCTTGGGCACCGCAGACAGCTATGTGCTGTAGCCCCCAGCAGTTTAGATCTATACTGTAAAACCAGCCCTTGCCTATTGGTAATTATCATGGCCACGAAGGAAAACCGTTGCCCAGAAGCTGGTGTTTTCCCCACGGAATTGCTCATCCCTTTGTCCTGTGTCTCTCCATCAGTGCTGCCCTCATTTATCAAAACTCCCCACGACATCACGAGCCGCACGGGGACCACGGCCCGGCTGGAGTGCGCGGCCGAAGGACACCCCACGCCGCAGATCGCCTGGCAGAAGGATGGGGGCACGGACTTCCCCGCGGCCCGCGAGCGCCGCATGCACGTCATGCCTGACGACGATGTCTTCTTCATCACGGACGTGAAGATAGAAGACATGGGTGTCTACAGCTGCACGGCACAGAACTCTGCAGGCTCTGTGCTTGCCAACGCCACCCTCACTGTACTGGGTCAGTGCTCCAGGAGACCAACTGGTGTGGAAGTGGGAACTGGAAGGGATTGATGTTCATCCTCTTCAGCAGTTGCAGATATAGCAAAGGGGTAAAGAGGCAGCACTCTGCATTGAATCGTGGAATGGTTTGGGTTGGAAAGGACCTTAAGATCATCCAGTTCCAACCCCCTGCCATGGGCAGGGATGCCTCACACTAGACCGTGTTGCCCAAGGCTCTGTCCAGCCTGGCCTTGAACACTACCAAGGATGGGTAACCTGTTCCAGTGCCTCACCAGCCTCACAGTAAAGAACTTCTTCCTTATATCCAACCTGAACTTGCCCTGTTTAAGTTTGGCCTTGTTTTGTTCTTTTATGTTGTAGTTAACTAATGAAAAATACCTAACCCCAACTGGTGATGGAAGGGCCTTAGTGGTGATTGTTAGATATGCTGTGGTTTACAGCTGCCATGCTCCTGGGCACGTGGCTGCGCATGTGTTGCTTTGTATTTGTCTGCAGGAGCATCAGGTTAAGTACTGCTAAAAGAAACCTGTTGTTACACTGTGCCCATGAATTAATGCCTGTGTTTATTCTCCTGCAGAGACACCATCTTTGATTCATCCACTGGAAGACCATGTGGTGTCTGTAGGTGAGACTGTGGCTCTTCAGTGCAAAGCCACAGGGAGCCCACCTCCCCGCATTACCTGGCTGAAAGGTGACCAGCCCTTGGTTGTGACAGAAAGGCATCACTTCACCTCTGGCAACCAGCTGCTGATCGTGAGGAATGTTGTCTTGGAAGATGCTGGGAAGTATACCTGTGAGATGTCCAACACACTGGGGACCGAGCGCGCTCACAGCCATGTGAGCATCCTGCAGTCTCTGGGCTGTAGGAAGGACCGCACCACTGTGGGGATCATCACCATTGCTGTGGTGTGCAGCATCGTGCTGACATCTCTGGTCTGGGTTTGCATCATCTACCAAACCAGGAAGAAGAGTGAAGAATACAGTGTCACCAACACAGGTACCTCTAGATTCCTGTTAAGGCTTCCTCTGACCTTTTGTGCTGTCTGGCTTACCACTGAGGCTGGATCAGGTAGCTGTGCAATCACACTGGGAAAGCAACTGGCTTATCTTGGTGGTTCTGTTGGCTCAGGAAGCTGGAACCAGCTTTCACTTGCTGTCGAAGCATGTTCAGAGCTGCATTTCTGCCCTTGGCTTGCTCTTCAGAAAGATCTGTTCCACTTGGCAGTGGTTTCAGCCATTTCTTTGCTACATTGATTTTTCCATGGCCATAAATGATAACTCTTGAGACAGTCTGGATTATGTCCATATGCTGGGAACCTGCCTGTCTTCTTGGGAATCTGTATTTTCAAAGACTTTGTATTCAAAACTTGAAGACGACTTTGAAGCTGGAATCCCTTTTTCCATGCTGCCTGGAGGAGCTGTTTAGCCGTGCTGATGAGAGGTATCCCTCTCATTTTATTGCTTCCTCCTGATAATTCAGAGGGGATAATTTGGTGCTGACATAGGTGTTGCAGTGAGAATAAACTCTCCTGCCCTCAATGGGAGGCAGCCTCTGAACAGAAGTATGGAAGAACCATAATTCCTGAAAATCTAGAGCTTCATGCCTGGCATCATTGAGTTTCGCTTGGGAAACTGAAATTGCCTAATGTAAAATGGAGAAAGCAAGGATAGCCAAGGGGCTCAGCCTTACTTGCCTGCTTAAGTGAATCAAAGTGCTCTCCACAAGTCTTTTACCCATGACTTTGGGAAACAGAGGGCTTGAGTTGCACAAGGTACTCTGAATTTCAAGGTAAAAAGGAAGGATTTACTTGTTCTGAAGAGACAGTTCCACCTCCACCTACCTTGTACTGGCCATGCCAAATGCAAACACTCGGAATGGCTTTATCAGCACTATTAAGCTTTGAAAAACCAGGAGTGGGGCTTCTGAGGGGAATGGAGTATTTTAGGCAGTTTGGTTTCCATTGCATCTACAGAGAAAGCCAGTTACAGATCTGGTCCCAGATCCCTCTTTAAAATGTGATTTTACATGCCTTTGAAAACAGAAGCTTTTATCTCTTAGTGGGAACTGATATTTCTGTGCTCCCATTGCTCTAGATGAGACTATTGTGCCTCCTGACGTGCCAAGCTACTTGTCTTCACAAGGGACTCTTTCTGACCGGCAGGAAGCGGTCATCAGAGTCGATAACCAACAGCCCAACGGGCACGTCGACAGCAACGGTGAGAACCGCTTCTATTGTTCCTTCTGTAACATCTGAACTTGATGGGAGGAGGTAGAAATCACAGTACAGAGTACTTCTGGGCTTGTTAGGGGTTATCTGGGAGATCTGCAGAATGTAATTCTCCAGCTACTGCATTTATGCAGAACGAGGATGTATCTCTCACTGCACGAAGCTGTGCTCTCCCGGTAATAACAGCGTCCCTACAAGCAGGCAGCTTCAGAAACTGCTCGCTCAGGCCCTAAGGACTTATTTTTCTGCTAATTTTGGATTAGCTTTTTGGCACCAGCGTTACTCCTAGTTAAGCTCTACTAGAAAATACATTAGCATTGCCTGGCCCTGCCTTCAGGCTTAGAAATTAAATGTTGGGGTTTTACAGCAGTTAAAGGCAGCATGTTGGGAAGGAGCAGCTCAGCAGCTCTTCTAAACAAAGATTCTCCTCAGCCTGTACAGCATTAGTTCTGTTAAACATTACCTTAAAATTATCTATTATCTCTAGTGCTGTTTTTCCCCCCTTTCACAGCTTTTACAGTAGAAATAAGACTTAACAGAGTCATTTAACTGAGCAGATGGTTGTAATCTTTAGCCAGATGGTTCGTTTGTTACAGGTATGTGTCAGACCGATGCTGGAAGGTGTCCAGATGTTGAAGCTCCTGCTGTAGGTTGCAGACAGCCAAAGCTGTGCATCGGCTATAATAAAGACACTTGGAAAACCGAAGACATGGCTGATGGAATCCTTGTTCCAGATAAGACAGGTACTAAACCCCATTAATCTGGAAAGGTATTTGGTGTTTGTACAGATCAGAAAGCCCTCCAAGTCAGACAGCGTTAAAACAAGAGATTGTTCTCAGGTGTGAGCACAGTAAATTTACTTTTCTCCTGCTCTCTTTGATCCTGTATGGAGCTTGGGTAGCTTGAATTGGAGGAACTGTCAGAAAGAGGCAGACTGAAGCTCACAGTTGCTGCTCCTTGCAGCTGGCTGATCGGTATTTGAGTTGAGCTATTCCTAAAATGTGAGAGCACTTTCAAGCTGAAGGTGTTAAAATGTTCCATGCTTTCTAAAGGCTCTGTCAGCTCCAGAGCTCAGCTTTGGCTTTTCATTCGCAAAACTTACAGGTTATTTTGGGCACTACACCTGCCTCTGCTCTTTGCCAGTTTCTTGGGTGTTACACTTGCACTGTTCTATTTGTGACTGTGTTTTCTGTTCTCATGCTGTATTGTAATAACCAGAGGGAAACAGCCAGTGAAGCACATTTTCTCTCCAGGAGAAACTGTAAAGTTTAATAATGGAAAGTTGTGGAGTGCACTGAGGAAATTAACTTTCAACAGTTAGAAACTCCTTCCTGCTTTGAGCTCTGTTCATCTGCTAATGCCACTGACAGCAATAACATATCTTAGGATAACTGCGTGAGTTGACAGTGATCCCTGTAAAGCAGCAGCACAAACTAAGAAAGGTAACTCTGTTTTAAAGCAGGTACAGGGAAGTTCCACTTTCTGTTCCTACCCTTAGAAAGTCTGGAAAGGGAGATAAATACATAAAGGAAATAAAAACATAAACCTAAAACTTTATTTTAAAGCAAGTCACAATTTTTTTTTGGAGTAAAATAAAACCCAACAAACCAAATCTATTAATTGGAACTACCTTTAGTTATAGCTGGAGTTCTGATAGATGCAGGTACTTCTAGCCCCTATATAAATCCAAGAAAGGTGTGTATTAGTGAGAGAGATTCCCCCACTGCCTAAACAGAGCTGCCTTTCCTTCCCTTCTGCAAGCTGTGCCTCGGAGCTGACAGCTTCCACCTGCTTAATGTGTTTGTTGCTGCTCTCCCTTCCAGGCTATGGGCTGCCCGTTGTGTGCACGGACTGCAGCGGCAGCACAGACAGCACCAATGTCCACATTTACCCCAAGGAGGCTGAGTACTACTCCGAGAGCCTTAAGACTCTGGAGAGCACCTGCCCAAACGCACTGAGCAGCAAGGAGCGCAATAGGAAGCGGGGTGCAGGCACCAGCCTTCTTCATCCTCAGCCGTGCAACGGGATTGCCAGTGGCAAGAGGATGGACACAGACGGGACCCTCTACCCCAGCAACCACGATAGAATAAGACCTGTGAGCACCACCAGCCCGCTGCTTGGAGACAAACAGGGTATGTGATCCCTTGGGGATGTCTCTTTCCCCCCTCGTGCAGTGTAATTCCATCTGGGTTTTAGCAGAGCCCTGTTTTCTCCCATCAGCATTTTTGCTGGCTCAAGGGCATAAATCATAGAACGGTTTGGGTTGGAAAGGACCTTAAGATCATCCACTTCCACCCCCCCACCATGGGCAGGGACACCTCACATTAGGCCGTGTCAGCCACGGCTCTGTCGGAGCTGGCCTTGAACACTGCCAGGGATAGAGCATTTACTGCTTCTTTGGGAATGACAGTGGCAGGGTTGGTTTATGGGGTGTGCTGGAGGCCGAGCACCACCTAACCACACTGCTTCCCTGGCTTGTTTCACAGGCTCTTCACAAGCAGCAGCAAAGCTTTCAGAGCTCAACAACCTTAACTTGGTGAGGGCTTCCCCAGCAGGAGGGTCACTAAAGCAACTGAACGTGCTTCCGGAGATCCCCCCAACACTACTGGATTTGCAGAGCGAAGCAGGAGTGAACCAGCCCCTCCTGTCCAACGGCGACGCACCCGAGCCCTGCGACTCCCATCCTGAGCTGAAGCCACCCCATAGAGCGCTGGACTGAGAGGACACAGATTAACACACACACTAGTTTATTATTTTTCCCTTTTTTAATATTTCTTTTGCACAGAGTATAGAGGCTACTACCTCAAATCTTGAACTGATGACCTGTCAGAGGCAAACAAACACCTGAGGTATGAGAAACAAGCTTGTATGGGGAACAAACTCCTGTTCGAGCGTCATCTGTTTGTACATAGTTTAAAACTTCCCTGAGAAGTATGAAGTGTTCAAAAGTTGACTTGCATATGAAGCACATAAATGCAAGGGATTATTGTGTAAAGAGAAAAGTATTTGATACAGTTGTACATAAGAGTTTTCATATATAAATATATATATATAAATATATATATATATATCTTTTACAGAGGCTATTTTAATCTTTAGTGCATGGAAAACTGAGTGAAAATTTACCATTTTGGCAATATTGTTTTCAATATCAGGTTGCTGTTAAAACTTTGTGAGAGAAAATAATTCTGGTGCCTTAAATGCATAAGCAGAACTGTTCCAAAGGGATTGCCCTCTTTTCAATGGAAGTTCCTTTAAGTCATGTTATCAATTGGGTTAACTTAGCACAAATTTCCTTCCCCTCTGAAATTTATTGCACTTACATTTAGAATGGAGATTTTCAACTGTTTCAAATGAAGTTTCTAGGGAAAAAAATGTGTGGTGAGGGATTACATAGCAACCTGATGTAGTCCTGGTGGTGGAAGAAGTTAAATTCCATTTTTGTTTTCCAAACAGCAGAGAAATTAAGTGTTTGAACTGTGACGTTTGAGCAGACCACACAAGAGGCACTAAATAATCCACCAACAGCGCAGAGCCCCAAAACAACCAAGCAAAGGCATTTGTGACTGGAGAGCACCAGCACAAAAGCAGTAACGCACAGAGTAAATGTGGGGTGGTCACAGGCACTGCACTGCTCAAAGCACCTCGCAGCAGAGGCGTTATCTGCCCCTAATACACTGGGCACCTCCAGCCCTAACACAGCCACTTCCCTTTGCAGCTGGACACAGCTTTGCCTCTGGAAGGTACATGGAATGATGGAGCTTGGCCCTGTTTGGAAGGAAGAGCCTGTGCCAGTAAATGCATTTTCACACCCAAAAGAAATCCATCTGTTCTGGAGGGGGTTTGAAACCATAGAGCTGTTTTGACAACAAAGCTAAACTCACGCTCCTGAGCTGACAGCTGTACCCTTAATTCATCTGATACTTCTCTTTCCTGCAACACAATATTACATTTTCTCATTGAACACCATTAACCCAACCCGCAGCCAGACTCCCTATATGAAAATATCCGCTTCAAATGAATTAGGCTGCCTTGTGTAGCAGCCCTGGCCTGCTCAGAAATACACTCATTCAGAAGGGAAACTGTATAGTTATGGTTGAAAGGGCTCTGTTAAATGGCAGTGTCCCAAGTATTTTTATGTGGTCTTTTAAGTCTGTCCGTGAATAGGGGGGAAAAAAGAACTACCCGCATTGGTCACACAGATCTTTGTCACTTCTGACTTCAGGATGACGCTCTGTACTTACAGAAAGGCTGCTCTCTGTTGGTACCCGTGGATGGAGAACTCCCAGTTATTTGTAATTTGAGTTCTGCTAACATAAGGTTGCTAACTCTGGTGATGACTACTTTGGGGGAAGGTTTATTAGTGGGGGGTGTTACTACTTTTTCCCTTAGGAACAACTCAAACACCAGTTCCACTGAAGCCAAGTGGTGGAAATCCACCTCTGCTAGTTTGGTGAAGCTCAAAACAGGCATCATAGGTAAGGGCAGATACATTTCATTTGCTGTTCAGTTCCATCACTTTCAGCTCTGCCTGTGCTGGTGGATTCAGTGTGGACCAGCTGAACCTGACCTTGAGGCAGCGAGGCATAACTCAGCCAGGTACCTGTCTTTATCAGTCCCTGACTATTGACATGTTTGCACTTTGGGGCAGGTGGCTGATGATGGTGAGTGCCAAGTTGATTCAAAGCAAAGGAAATGGATGTTTGGGAATTACGAACCCAGCATCATTTCCCCTTTACCAGAGGGCAAACTGCGCTGCGGAGCCCACTTGCAAGGTGCAAACATTGGGAATGATTGGGAAAGATGGGAATGATTTACTGAGCTCGTTTTGCTGGTGGAAATGTCATCACCATTGCAGATACCAAGCATATTTGTCACATTAACATTGGAAAGTAATGTTTCTGAATCAAGTTAACTGCCTAATTTTCTGACTTCCACTAAATATGTGAATTTGCTGCTTCTAAGAGGCAATGTGAAAGAGGAAGTATTACTTTTGTGTACAAAGTTATTTATTTATTAGAAAAATTTGGTACAATGTTGTACATTGACAAACATGTAAGATATTGAAGTGTCTAACAAATGGCATTGAAGTGTCTTTAATAAAGGTTCATTTATAATATTACAGCTGTTTGGTTGAGAGTGAGCATTTGGGAGTTTGGGTTGAAAATACAATAAAAGTCTAATCTGTTGCTATACTCTTTTCTGTCTTTCTCTGACAAAACACCTGAAATCAGACCCAAGACTCTACTGTGAGATACTGTAGATCAGCACAAGATGCTGGCCACCTGAACTGGTGTATGGGGTGGAATTTGGGGGCTGGGGTGAAAGATACAATAAAGACTTCATAAGAAATACAGGTCTAATATATCAGCTTGCTTAAGTAGGTGGCAAGGTGTCTTATCTTGGCACTGAGATGACCAGATGAGCTGTGTGCATTAAAGATGGAAGAGAAACAGGGCTGGGATAGCACCGGCTGTGGCTGCAGCTGTGAACACCTCTGGTTTGCCCTAAGTCTAACCTAAACCTCACCCTGCATGGAAATTCCAGAGGTAGCTTTAGAGATAAGCTGGAATTCTTCTTTTATGTTGTTTATGTGGGGGGTTTTAAATTAAAAACCAGTATTTCCTGCTCCAAATTGTAATTTTGGGTATAAAGCAGATTTCCCTGTGAGGGTGCTGAGGCACTGGCACAGGGTGCCCAGAGAAGCTGTGGCTGCCCCATTCCTGGCCCGTGTTTAAGGAGCAACCCGGTCCAGTGTGAGGTGTCCCTGCCCATGGCAGGGGGTTGGAACTGGATGAGCTTTAAGGTCCCTTCAACCCAAACCAGTCTGGGATTTTCTGAAACTACTCTGATACCCTTTAACACATGTATGAGTTTAGAGGGAGCCTTCAAGAGGACAGTGCCTGGGCCGAGATTCACATTCTGTTGTTCTGCATTATCCCGGTAACTGCCTCAAATTAATTTGTCAAGTTTTGGTAAATTTGAAATAAACCATTTCATATAAAACAATTTCAAAACACTGCTAAGACTTCAGGCAAACAGGAAGCAGGGGAAAAACTAAACACACAATCACAGAATGGTTTGGTTGGAAAGGACCTTAAAATAATCCAGTTCCAACCCCCATGCCAGGGACACCTCCCACCAGACCATGTTGCCCAGGGCTCTGTCCAACCTGGCCTTGAACACTGCCAGGGATGGAGCATTCACCACTTCTTTGGGCAACCTGTGCCAGTGCCTCACCACCCTCACAGTAAAGAACTTCTTCCTTAAATCTAACCTGGTTTGTTTAAGTTTATTTTATATATATATATATATATATATATATATATGTGTGTGTGTATATATATATATGTGTGTGTATATATATATATATGTATATATATATATATGTGTATATATATATGTGTGTATATATATATGTGTATATATATGTATATATATATATGTGTGTATATATATATATATATATATATATGTATATAAAAGTTCACAGAAGACACAACCTTACCAGTGGCAGGCAGCGCTGCTGCACCTTGCCATGAAACTGAGCAGAATTAACCAGCCAATATTGGCCTTGGCTGAAACTCCCCATTTTAATGGGGAATTAAGAAGTACACCCTTTGTTCTTATGTTTTACTGGTTTGCTGTCCTGGGTTCAGCAGTAGCAGTCATTTTTCTCCTTCTTAGCAGCTGGTGCAGTGCTGTGGTTTTGACTTTCGGCCTGGGAACAGCACTGATAACACCAGTGGTTTTAGTTGCTGCTAAGTCATGTTTACTATGACCAAGGACTTTCTGAGTCTCATGCTCTGCAGGGAGGAGGGGAAGCTGGGAGGAAGCAGAGACAGGACACTGACCCAAACTAGCCAAAGGGGTATTACATACCACAGCACGTCATGCCCAGGATATAGAACTGGGAGCAGTTACCTGGAAGGGCTAGATCACTGCTCAGGTCACACTGGGTATTGGTCAGCAGGTGGTGAGCAGTTGTATTCTCTTCCCTTGTTATTTCCCTTATCATTATTATTACTGGTGGTAGCAGCAGTGATTTGTGTTATACCTTAGTTACTGAACTGTTCTTATCTCAACCTGTGGGAGTTACATTCTTTTGATTCTCCTCCCCATCCCTCCAGGAGTGGGGGGGAGGAAAGGTGGAAGTGAGAGAGCGGCTGCGTGGTTCTGATTTACAGCTGGGCTTAAACCATGACATTTGCCAATAATTTTCTCAGTTTTGGCCACAAAAAAATGGCTTATCACTATGTCACGGGAGGACAGTGCAATAAACCACCCAGCCTTAGTAAGCCCGGACATTGAGCCTGAGCAGCAGCCCGTGTCTGTGCAGGGGCACGGCACCCTCTGGTCATGCACTAACCTGGTTTGGTATTTGTTCTCTCTCGCTGCCTCTGTACATCTTCCTGCTGATGAGAACAGCCTCCCAGTCACAGCACGGCACCACCGCTATGAGTTCAGGTAACACAAGAGCATTGGGATGACCTGGAAGCTGCATTCACCGCCAGTCTGAGGCCAGTGCTGCACAAGCCCGACCACGGTCACACTGCACCATGTCCCAGCACACAGCTCCCCCCAGCATCCCAATGCCCAGGGAGCCCCTCGGCTGAGCCCAGGGAACACTCGTGAGCTGCTGGACCCAGTCCCTCAGATCCCACCGCACCGGTGCAGCATGAGGAGGGCGTTCAGTGCATGCCAAAGATGCTCTCTTCAATATAGACTTCCTGTGTCAAGCGTTAACATACACGGTAGTACCTATGATGTTTTGGTAGATGAGTAACAAATATGGATTCAAACAGCAAACAGCCAGAAAAACAGGAATACAAAGTGTTCTGTATTTATGCTCTACTAATGCTTGCCCTTTCCAGTAACATTCACTCTCAACCCTTCCTTCTCTTGCAAAGAAAGCTCATTATAATCGTCCTCACTGCAGAAGCTGGCTGCTGGTGTAAACCTGGGGCTCCCACCCCAGACCCTGGTGATAACTGAGTAATTTCAACAAGGCTTTTCCCTGAGCTTGTCCCTGCACCATTTCCTAACATGAGAGCAGCAGCAGAGGTTTTCTTTGCCTGCCAGCATCCCCCTGAGAGCCCTCAGGATCTGTCCATACACCAGCAGGAGAACCTGTGCGTTCTCCCAGCCCAACCTTCCTGGTCTCCCTCCTGAGGTTCTGCTTTTCCAGCCTTCTGCTCCTCAGCTGCTGTGGGAGGAAGAAGGCTGAGCTGCACGTCTCTGCACAAGCAGAGCTGTAAAATACTATAAGCCCATGCTTTTACTGGAGAAATGCGAGTCCAATTAATGAAGCTGCACTGGCTCCCACACAGGAATGATTGCTGAGCACCTGTAGGTATCAACAGGAATATAAACTTCCACAAAACACAGCTCAAATCAGAAACAAATGGATTATTGTCTTTTACAAAGAGCTCTCCCAACCTGGAGCACTCTCAGAACTGTAACTCCATCAGCCCCTTCCCCACCACCAAACCCCTCCCCGCGTTACGAGGCAGGTGCCACTGAATGATGAAAACTCGCTTTATTTCAGCCTCCATGCTCACAAACCCCTCTCCCTGCAAGAGTTCTCACAGCAGTGCTCTCAGCCACTGTAATTGGCTGTTGATACCCCTCCCCAAACACCACTATTTTGGCAGGACTCTCGCAGTGACCTCACTTGCTTTCCATGCAGGAAAATTCCTCATTTGGGAAGTTGGATTATTGGAGGATTTACTCTTCTGTAGCAGTGAAAGCAGCTCAACAGCTGCTGCAGCACGGGTAAGGGGCTGCGGGAAGAAAGCTGTATCCATGGGTGAACTCCTCAGCATCCTCTCCAGCAGGACATGCCTGTGTCAGAGCAGCAGCTGCCGAGTCTTCTCATATGTCCCCAGGAAGATGAAGCCTCCCAGGCTGATTCCTGCCATCCGTGGGACAACACCTGCAAACAAGCTGAAGGCAAAGGCTGTTTGAGCAGATGAGAGGAGAGAGGATGCTGCCTGGATGCTGCTGGGGCTTCAGGAGACAAAGCCAACACAAACTCTCTCTTGCTGTTGTCTTCAGTCCCACCCCACGCTCACTGGATGAACCTGTCTGGACTTCCCTAACAGAGCACTGTGGTTTTTAACCTCACTCCTCAGGTGCTGGAGGCTGTGGGCCATGCACAGAAAGAGCAGCTCAGACACATCCCCACGCAGGGCTGCAAGCATCCCACCTCCCACTGCCCTCATGCAGCCTTGTCAGAGGGAACCCCTCTCCCTACCAGGAGCTTCCCATGACACACACAGCCCTGCTCACCGCAGCAGCTCATTCCCATCACACACAACAGGGACCAGCAGGAATGGCTGCAAGCGTTCAGCCATCACAAGTTTTAGGTACCTGATCCTAGTAGTTCTTGGAAGTTAACAGGAAGCCCTGGCAAAGCCAATTGGCTCAACACATCTAGCTGGTTTAACAACTTTGGGACAGGCCAGTGTATCCTCCCAGAAGATTACAGGCTTCCCTTGTTGCAAGCAAGGATTAAACATTAGGCTTGAATCCGTCTGGCATCCCCTCACTGATCTACGCCTGAGCAGCAGGAACCCTTCACAGCCCAATGTGGCTGAGCTCCCAGGACGCTGTCCTTGGTATGGTGCCTGCTGGGAGCATGTCCACCATGGGACAAGGTGCAATTCCCAGTGAGATGGAGATGGAGGTACTCCCAGGGAGCAATTTGCTTCCCCACACCACGTTAGTCCTGCTGCACCGGGGAATCCAAATCCACTGGCTGGGTTTTGCTATAATGAGCTTTGCTCAGCAGCCTGGAGCACAGAGGCACATGGAAACATTTTATGGCTTTACTAGACAGCAATTGGGTCTATTACCATAATGACAGCTTTAAAACAAGGTAATTTGTACAAGGCATGTACGGACAGAGTGCTGATAGGGTAAATCCTACGGTGCAGCATTGCTCTCGGAACGCTCACCATCCTTCTGCTGAATCCAGCAGCCCTCATTACAGGAGGGGCAGACATTCATCTACAGAACAGCCCACTCGAGACACAGCTATTACACAAACAGGGGCAGATAACTGAGTTACCCAGAAGCTGCATCCCTGGCAACCTCTGTTACTAACCATCACTTCCAAGAATCCCAGCCCTTCTCGCCCCAGTTTCCCACCTCCACCTGCGGCCTCTCCAATCAATGCTTTCCCTTCTGCAGGAGGGTAGCACGGAATAGCTCCAGGGCTGTCCTGAATCCAGAGATAGCTGCAGGCCTGATCCAAACTGGTCCCCACCTGCCCTCATCAGCAGGTGAGGTAAGCCGAGATCATTTCTGCTGGCCCCATCAGACACTGCTCTGGTGGACACAGATCTGTCTATTGGTATCTGCTGTTTGTACAGATTGCCCCTAGCACCCTGCCACTCTTCTCTCTCTGCCTGGATTTTCCCTTCCGCTTCAACCATGTGCATGCCTTCCAGGGTTCCCACCCCAACAGTCCCAGCGGCCAAAGGCAATGGGTTTGGGTGACAACTCAGCAACCAAAAGCAAATTCTTTCTCAATAGAAACAAACCAGGATTCCTAAAGTTACTCCTTTGGACAGACACTGCAGAGCCTGGACACAGCATGTCCCACACTGGAAAAGGCGCTGTGTGCTCGGCCACAAAACCTCTGTGTTACACTCCGAACCAATGGCCATGCTGAGAAACACCAAGTACAGCCCTGCACTGAGCTCGCTCCCTCATACAGCCTGTGTTTCACAGAGCTGCAAGCCCCAGGCACAGAAACTGCTTTCACCACTCACATTGGGTCTGGAAAGCGGTGTGGTTCACACCAGCCATTCCATGTCTGCTCCAACTGGGAAGCTAATCTGAGGAACAGGACACCTTGTGTAAATCACCAACTACACACAAGCTGGGATGTGCCACTGCACCAGATTTCTCATTCAAATAACCCTTGTCTTTCTCATGGAGCTTCATGAACAGGTTCCAAACACCACCATGTCCTCCTTGCATGAAGAGCAAGATGTAAACCTGCTCTCGTGTGAACAGCTCATCCACACGATTGGCAAGAGCGAAGAGGCACACGGATTCGCTCACCTCACCCCTATCGCACCTCCTGCCACAGGTCTGGCTCTCCCTGCACAGAAAGGGATGTGCAATTTCTTGGCATGAAGCAGAGGGATTTACTAGGTGCAAGACCAGGAAGCCGAGGCCTGTGCTCTGGTTTTAATAAGGTGGCAATAAGCAACACGTCTTTCTGCCCTCAGAATTCCTCCTCTTCAAGTACGAGATTTATTAAGAGGAGCCATAAATCATTTCATGCAACTGGCCAAAAAAGCCCGACATTTTTATTGGTTTTGATTAATAGATTCATAATTGGCAGCAGGCATGGCAGCCTCTGCGTTTATTTTTCCCAAGACTTTCTTCCTTTTCCTTGCAGCTGACACAGCTTGGCCTCCTCTCCATGTTACTTCTGCTCCAGACTAGCTTATTGTTTTGATTTCAATTGAATTGTGTTCCCTTTGGTCTGACTCCACTGGTGCCATCTTTAGGCAGAGCTTAATTTTGGGTTGTTTAGAAAAGGGCACTGCTGAAACACCCTAAAAAGAACACAAACACACATATTCATTTTTCCCCTGGGGAAAAGGGGAAGGTTTCTCCAGCCAAATCCATGCCTCCTCACACCCTTCTGCCATTAGCAGAAGATGTGGCCTCACTTCTTCCTATGTTCAAAACATGCCCTAGAGTCCATCAAGCCATGTAGGACCCAAAACTCATCCACTGCCACATCACCTCGCCACCTCAAAGAGCAAACCTGAGCCCTGCTGGGCGCACAGCTGGGCGCCTTCCTGCAATCCGTGTTCAGGAACTTCCTGCAATTTGTTTTATTTTCCACATGTGTAGAAAGAGAATTCGACTTTTATGAGGTGGTCAAGCGGAGATCACATGTGAAGAGAAAGCTGTCCCCCGCCAGGCTGCGATGTGCACGCTGCTGAGAGCGACAGCTTACACATGTTAAAGCAGCAACTGAAAGCATCGGCCACATCAAGTGGATTAACAACCCATGAGAAATTACAGCAAAAAGTCTCAAGGAAAGCTTCCAATAACCTCAGTTTCAAAGGGACATGGAGGGGGTGTCCCTACCCATGGCAGGGGGTTGGAACTGGATGATATTTAAGGTCCCTTCCATCCCAAACCATTCTATGTTTCTATGGCACCACACTGGCATTGCCTGCTCCCACCATGCTTCCAGTAAGAACAGCAAATACAAAGGAACAGAGGAGACCTTGCTGGTGTTTGCAATCAGTAGGAAAATGCCAGAAGGAGGAAAAGACTGTCCACAAGGGACACGTGGCTCCGGCACTGGCCTTCCCTGACATCTCAGGAGGGGTGATTCACACACTTCAAGATGAAACTGTGGTACTCACTGCCAGAAGATACACATGCCTGAAGTTTAACCGGGTACAAACCACAGCTGCACACATTCATGGAGAAAAGCCCACCACAGGCTGTCAAACACAAAACCACACTTGCCTTCAAAGTCTGGAGCTAAGCTTGGAGACTGTACCATGGATATATGCCCATTTTCCATGCAATTCCACGGACATTGCTCCCAGCCAGTGCTAAGGCGAGGACACGAGACTTCCCTAGAGGGACTTGTTATTAGTTACCCCACAGCAGCTCCCTGACCATGTAATTGAAAGTCTATTCCGTATTAGAGTAACAGTCTTGTTCGGAAACATCCTGAATGACCAAGCAGTCTTTCTTCCAACAGGAGTTGCCTATCCCACATTGCCCTTTTAGTCCTCATCACGGTTGTAGTAAGCGTGGGTAAAGCCCTTCCCAAATCTTCGTTTGCAAAGCCAAGCCATCAATCAATCATTTAAATATAAGCAGACCATCCCACCTGCTGACACACACAGATACACCACCTGAGATACATCATGTCCTTACCCCGACAAACCTTGTGTCCTCCAGATGCTACCAAGTGCAGCCAGAACATTCCCACTAGCATTGCTGGAACCAGCCTGCACCACAGAAAGAGACAGATTGGAAACTGTTGGCAGAGAGGTTTAGTTATTTACTGAGCTCCCTGACTATGGTTAGTGCCACATTACAGGTACTAGAGACATCCTAATGACCAGGCACAGTCTCCAGGAACGAGGCAAAGGGCAGAAAGGGAAACCGAGGCATGGAAGAACCGAATGATCATGCCAAGGTCACAGAGCTCATTAGATCAGAACCAGCTATTCAGTCCCTTCTGCACTACACTCAACTCTATGTCCAGCAACTGACACTGGAGTAAGACATTAACAGAAACACACTCAAAGCACCAAGAAGTAACTTTGCTGGTCACTGCAAGAGGACAGCATCCTTGAGATTGCCTTGAAAAAAAAACCCAACACAACAACATGAGTAGTGTATTGCATGTGAAAATAGCCTTGAGTGCATAACAGAGGACAAACAGCAGTATTACAGACAATTAAATTACATGCATGATCTAGTTAGTGTGAGATGACTAATACAAAGATGCTGTTTGGGGCTCAGAACACCCTAAAGCATCATCATTCTCTTACCAGTGTTGACCTGGTTGCTCACGATAGCAGCAGACATAAATGAAACCCAGTTCTTACAGTTCTATCACCCATACTGTCCAAAGGCAAAGAAGCTGCAGCAGGTAGAACACCCAGCAATGAGATACACCCCACTGCAGATGCATGTGACTCTTACTAAACTTACTGATGATAAAAGCAATCCTCCTTCTGCCCTGGTTGGCAGATGGAAGCCATCACAATCTCTATGGCTTCAAATTTTAGGACAGAAAATCCAGTGCCAAGCCCTCCTTGCACTCTGAAGCCCAACAACTGTCAAACCAACAGCAGAATAAATCCCTGATGGGCAGTTCAGCTTTGAGTGTCTGACTCTGCAAGGATTTTCTCCTAAAGACAACACATGAGGCTCTGAAGTGCACAAGCACAAGCCCTTCTCAGACAGGGAAAGGACCAGAAGAGCAATCTGAGGAAAGAAGCAACAATTTCATCAGTTCTGTATGCAGTACCTGTTCACATCTAATCCTGCCTTTGAGGACAAGAACAGAAAACAGTAATAGATGCTGGATTCCATTCTGTAATGACCATAGAGAAACTACCCAAGCCATTCACCTGCATGTCCACTGGCCTCCTCCATTCTTACCTTTGCCAACATAATTCTGGTCTTTGCTACATCGAGAGGTGTGGTGACTGCAGCTGCAAATCCACCTGAGCAAATGAAAACACCAAACACAAGTGAGACATTGTTGGGTGAATAGGAATGCCACACTGCCTATAATTCCCATGGCTGTGGTCAACACTGCTGCTCCGTTATTAATGCCTGCAGAATGTTTCCTCACGTCACAGTCCAGGTATGTTTGTTGAAGGTCTGTACACAGAGTGTTTTATTCTTGTGTGTTGACTTAAGGAAACAGCTCTATACCGGTTAACTGTAAATCCAAACATCCCCATTGAGATTACTGTCCTTTTGTTTTGGACTCTGTACAAATACAAATATATGAAGGTCCTAAGGATAATGGATTCCACTTTCAACATCTACAGACAAGTTTGAAAGGAAGAACCTGCTTACTCATTTGCAGAGATAGGAAAACAAGGTCATCACACTGTGTTCTGCCTTAAGAATTAAAGTCTGACCATTCAAATGCCAGATAGAAAGAGGAAAGATGCTCTGCATCTGAAACACACATGCTTCAGACTAGGCTATCCACAACATACAGATGGACTGGATCTGGACTTCACCTGTTAGACCTGGGACTCTTGTTTCAAGGATAAAAGATAAGTCAATGTTTTTGATGGAGCTCATCTCCAACAAATGAAACCAACTCCATTTTGGGTAACAACAATGTGAAGATGCTCAAGGGTCTTTGGAAACGGACAGAAGTCTGCTGCCACAAGTACTGTTTTCCTCTCACAGGCATTTTTGTCCTCTAATTACTCCCAGACTTCACCCTTGGAGCTCATTACTCTCAATTGGAGTAGCCAGCTCAGCTGTGGCTTTCTTCCTGAAAGCCAGAAATCTTCAGCTTATCCATCTGCATGGCTCAGGCACAAACCTGTGTGTGTTTCCCTATGTCAACCCTGTACCTACAGCCTGGCCTCTTGTGCTATATCTAGGGACCAGCTTTGCTGCTTTTTCTCCCAGGATCTTATTCCTTTTGCCTTATTTCCCTATCCTGAAATTAACTCTAATCTCTCTCTCCCTCGTCTGTTCACAATATTTCAAATAATTCATGATAAGGAAGAGCCAAAGTGAAGGAAACATTTAAAATGCAGGAGCAGCCCAGCAGTAAGTGAAGAAAGAAACGGAGGGGGAAGAGATGAGAAACTTATTCTGAAATCTCTTTTTCTTCTTCCTCCTGTTTTTTCTCTGGAGCTTGCATAAATCCTCTATCTGCTTCAGCAGGGAGCAAAGTGACTCCAAAGACTGAAGCCTACACAGTACCCAGGGAATAAGCTAAAAATAATCTATTTTCTGTTCCAAGCTTTATGGAATGTAGAAAAATTGATCTCTTTTTTCTTGGAATGGGAGAAAGGAAAAGCATTTCTTTTAAAAGATGTAAAGTAATGAAAAAAGTCCATCTTCCCTTCTGGCTTCTGTTCCTACCTGCATCTCCCTCTCTCAGCGCCCTTTGCTTTAACGAACTAAACCCTGCCTTATGTCAGACAGGAGGTTGGGCCAGCTGGCACCCTGCATTGACTTCTTACAGTTCATTAAGGAACATCTCACGACAGTTGAGGAGATGCAGTAAGGTACATGTGCAGTCCCCTGGATCTCAAACAGGGACAGCAGGCAAGCAGAGCTAGCCAACAGCCCCAAAAGCCTGCTTTAGGAGCAGCTCCTGCTCACATCAGCTCAGCCCATCCAGTTCACTCCACCGGAAGCTTTCAAGCAGTGACACCTCACTAAAAAGCAGGAAAAATGGGATGTATTCAAGGAGCCAAAGCAGAAACTATGAGCAAGCTGAACTAAATTCCAGCCTTTCTTGGACCTTCTTTAAGGTCAAAAATCTTTTTACTGTGAGCCAGTTTTTGAGTAAGTGACCCAAAGGCTTTGAGAGAATGGGCTGGAGAGAAACTGGTACTCATGTATTTTTAGAACAGTAAAAATAATCTCCATGGAAAAGAGTAGCTTTATAAGCCTGGATGCAGAAGCCCTTCCTTTGCCCACAGACCCAGATAAAATTAAACAATGAACTGCATGGTTGTCAGGTCTGTATTAAGCAAATAAATCTCAACATGTCACTCAGCTATAGAGGCGACAATCACACTTCAGTCAGACTAACATTTCTCATATCAGATCCCAGTAATCTTTTCCATACATTCGTTCCTAACAGTTTCTTATTGGCAGAAGCTTCAGTCTTGGCTGATGGAGTGATTAGAACAAACACAATTTATCCCAATAAGATATTCTTATCTGAATGTTTTAATCAAGACTTATCAGTTTGCATTTTTCCTCAGCTAACGTCTGGATCTGTCAGACTCCTGTTACTAACATTTCATTTTCCATCACTGAGAAGTATTTGGTACAAAATTACCAATTGATTTAGAATGACAACAGCAAGAATAAAGGACTTCATAAGCACAACCAGCAGCAGGATAGTGGCTAAATTACATGTAAGTTTGTATATGTTTGACAAAACCACAAGATTAAAACTAGCTTTTGTTGGGAATAGCATTTTACTGAAGGCAGTGAGCCTGACAAAATGAATTAGCTCCAGCCTTAACCCTAAAAGTCCAACGTAATTTTAGAGTGACTTCTTCAGTGTTAGTACACAGGTACCCAAGAACAGGCTCTAGCACTAGTGAAGTACTGCTCAGTCCCAGCTACTCTACAGTAAAAGAGCTTAAACCATGACTCTTTTGCAATCATCAGGTTAATACAACAGATACAAACTAGTCCAGCCAGAGCCTACTCATTCAAAATAGGAGGGGTGTACACTGCACTAATGCACAGTCAGGACCAACACCTTTAGTCTATTCCTGCTGCCACTAAAATCTCCAAGAACTGTCACGTAAGGCTGGAATCGGCTCAACTAATCAGCCACTGGGAAAAGCCAATATCAAAGTATCAGGTATCAGACAAGAAAGGCCCAGACACATCCAGCCTTACACTCCTCATCATTCCAGCTTCTCTACAGAGCTGACAGAGGAAACAGCATCTGTGCAGGCAGTCTGCATCCAGACACAGCCACCAGTTCACTCCTGGAGAAGGCTCCTTTCTCCCTTGCCCTAGCAGGGTCTCATGATGACTTGGGCTCAGCAAGTAGGCACAAAGATGGATTTACACACAGCAGAAGTCCCTTGCCTTGTTAACACTTCCAGCAGAGTGACAAACTGCCTTATTGGGAAAATAAAACTTCACATAGTAGTGGAAAATTCATCACCTGTCTCCCAAGAAGTACAATGGACACTGTGTACATTCACGTATCAGCTAGCAGCTAAACTTTACCAAGCTCAGGGTGTTAAACAGAAAATCTCTCTGCTACTCACATTTCCCCAGTGAGCAGCTCTTGACAGACATGCTAGTGACAGACATCTGCAGAGAATGATTTACCTGTATTCCCAATAAGAAGTCCTAATATTCCCCTCGGTTCAAGCTGGCACTTCCCACCTTTTTAGCTGTCATATGCAAATAAAACTTGAGACGCATCAGAACAGAGTGAAATACTTCACCTGAGAACAATACATAACCCTAGGTCCTCGCAATAAGGTGGCTGCCTGCAGGATCTGCTGCTGCTACAGGAGAATGTTTCACAGATTCCTTGACACACTCCTCAAGTAAGACCCTATGAAGGGAAGAAGTTCTTCTTCAGCCACTATATAATCTTCTTGTACCATTACAGCTTTCCCTCAGCCCTTCTAAAGGGTCCAGGGAACCCTTCTGGCCACCACAGAGGCTCCTCCTGATTCTGCGTTTCTGTTTTCTGGCCACATCCCTGGCACTCTCTTCTGCAACACCAGCCCAGCTCGGCAAGTCAAGCTTGTTTTAAGACAGACACTTGCGCTTGATTAATGTCCTTGATGAATTCGCTCACCTTAGGAAAAAAAAATAAAAGTCCAAGTTAAGCTGTATTATTGCCTGTCTTCATTGCTATTTTCTGACCCAACATCTGAAGATTAGCCAGCACTGATTCAGGATTGAATCCCAAATCCAGGTTGAAAAACTAAGTCACACACTCAGTTCCAACACTAAACCTCACAGCAACCTCTTACACTGACTGATTTCCAAGTCCACAAATGGTATTTTTCAGAACTCTTCAATCAATCAGTTCATATTTAAACCTTTATTCTATTGATAGTATGTTATTTTTTGTGAAGAGGAAGTTTATTCTGGCCTTTTCTTGCTGTGGGAACAACACCTGCCAACAAAAGAGCAAAGCGACCCAAGAACCTTTTTGGATTTCAACAGAAATGCTAAGAGGGAAAGCACTGCCCCTCCCGTGATTTAACCAATTCAGGGTTAGAGACATGGTCCAAGCAGACACTATCAGGAAATCTTGAGAACCAGTCAAACATCCATGCAGAGCTATAGAGCTAAAGAGGCTTTTAGACACAGTGTGTAATCTTGTCAGAGCCGATTAGGTCAGAACAAAAGTGATGGGAAGTCTTCCCTCTTAATGTGCAAAAAGCTTTCGTTACTGCTCTATTATTCACTAGACTTGCTCCTCCATTCTTGGTGACTTTGTCACCACAGAGCATTAATTATTAATGTTAAGCCACACTATTTTTTACAGTAGGGAGAAGAAGGTGTCTTTAATAGAGGCAATTTTCAATGTCATTAAATGGACACTCAGGTTCTTTGACAAGTTGGAGATCACCTCATTGGTATGAGGCAGTACTTTCCTTTCCAAACAGCAAATACCCAACAGCAGAATTCCATTGCCACCAGCCCACTTCCATGGAGGACACCTAAAACCTATCCAGAAAGCTGTTCTGGGATGGCCTGTACTGTATTATGTGGGGCTGGGGTGCAGGAGTCCAGCCCAGCAGCATAAGCTCAGAGAAGACTAGAGCACGGAATGCAACCACAATCATGCCTGGCCTGCTCACAGCATGGGGAATGCCTCCTTCCTTTGATTGCAGCCTGCTAAAGCCTGTGCCCAAATGTGGGCTGATGTCCAAACATGAGGCAAGGTTTGGTTCAAATGTAACCTCAGGCTTAAAGTCTACCCTTGGGCTCCTCTCAACCAGCTGCTCAGGCATCACCTTCTCTCACTCCCCAACTGGTGCAAACATCTCCTCTAGTTAAGACACCAGAGATGAACACAGAGTTGGACACAGCCTCCAGGGATTAAATTATTAACAGATGAGACAGAGAGGATTCAAAATCTCATATTTATGCTCATGCCTATTAGGTTTCTATAAAAAACCCATGGATCACACACAGATCTTACACATGTGCACTCAACAAGGAAGAGTTGGGCCTCTCACAGCACTTTGGCTCAAATCACTGCCATTTCACAGGCACTGGGGATGGAATCCAATATATTGTTGTGCTTTGTTCTGTCTTCGCCAAATAATCAATGATGATTTAGCTAGGAACCAACCAGCACACACAGACACACACGTATGTGTGTGCCATAAAGGGAAGCCAAACAGGACTTTTCTTTCAGGTTTACAGGCATTACTCTGCCCCTCAAGACCTCTAACATATTTTTAGAAAGCACTGAATTCCAGCAAAGAACACAGGAGAAAAGCAATTCTGTGTGATTTCACTATCCCACTCCTACCATGTTGGCATTTGACAGCATCTCTTAATTTAAAAATTGGGGTTTGGACAATCTTCTTCTAAGGTTTAGAACATGATGATTTTAAATCATTCAGATGCACACATCAATCTTATTTTATTCACAGGGTACTAGTGAGGCTTTGAGGTGGAAAGAAAGGGATAAACAGTTTGGTCTAGTTTTTCTTCCCTCATTTGAAGCTCTGTGTAGGTAGTTGACTTTTAACCATGGAATCCATTCCATTCTTCAGAAAGCAGGAAATTATTCTTCCACTGCCTCCACTCAGCAAGAAGGCTAAATGTTTGCAGTGAAATTGAATGGATGTGGTACCAGATTACATCAACACAGGGCCTGTCTGTTACATGCCTGCAGAGCGAGGCAATGGAGATGGAAGGGGAAGGTTCTGAAGAGTTGAACCTCATGAGTTTTGAGGCAGATCCTCAAAAGAACACATGAGAAAAGAAGTTTAAAATAGTGCGAAGAGAGAAGAATGGGGAAAAAAGAACAGAGAAGGAAAACCAAGCTGGAGGAATTGAAGCCGGAGGAAGTGAAGCTGGAAGGACAACCCAGAGAATATTTATCATCAATTACAACATGATCTATAAAATAGCACTCCGGCTCTACAAAGATTTGTGCCTGAGGAGTAGAGCCCATAAAGACACCTAGGCTAAACTGTTTCATCTACCACCACCATGGACCTGGAAGTCTCTGTGCTGCTCCAGGAGGACCCAGTGTCTCCTCCAGCAGTGTCAGGTTTCCCCAGCATCTGCCAAAGGACAGCAAAGTGTTTATGCACAACCATGCCTCTGGAAGCTCCTTCTTGTAATATTTCTGCTAGAAAGTGAGCAGACATTACTGAACATCCACCAAATAGCAGCAAGTCCAAGCATAACCGGTCAGAATCAGACATACAGAAAAGGAAGTGGGGGCACTAGGCTCGATTTCCCATTGAGGCACCAAATTGGACTTCAGGAAATTACTCTGCAAGGCCTTGGGTAAATCAGATAACCTTTCAAGCTCTCTGAACATGCCTGAACACAGTTTTTGTATCAATCTGACTGTAAAGAAATCAACAGAGCTAAATTAATGATCCCCATCACACCTGCAGACACACAGATTGCATTCTAAAGCATTTTTAGTCTGATAGCTTGTTTAGTTTCAAACCAAAAATGAGCGACCTGTTTCAATCACTCTGATTCCATCTGCACTGATCTGAAGTCAGTGTAAAACCCAACAGTAGACCAGATTTTGAGCAGAATAAAACTCCTTTCCTATCACACAAACATAAAAAATACAGCTGGACAAGACCACAAGAGGTTACCTAAAATACCCCCTTTGTCCCATAATGGAATCAATTCTACTTAAACCATTCCAACACAGCTCATGGGTAGGATCTATTAAACCATGTGCAGCTACAGCCATGCTTTCTTCTCTCAGTCATGCAGTTACAGCACCCATCAAAAGGAAATCTCTGCTGGAATCCTGCTGCTATTAATACTGCAATTCCCCTAACAGAATTTGTTTAAAAAACCCTTACATACGATGTAATGGCTCTAATTTTACAAGTTAGCAAAGAACAAGCTTTGCTTTTGATAGTCTCTATTTCCAGAAATGCTATAATTCCTTTTTAAACAGGATTTATTTTTTTTCCACAGACTCTGTTACTGGTTTGGAATCTCAAAATGTATTTTAGCTCCTTGGGGAAAAGCTTGGGCTATCCATCTCTTTACTAATCTGTTTTTTCTATTAGACAGTTGCATCTCTCCTCCCTCAACTTGTCAGCTCTACTGATGAGTCATTAATTGCTTTCTTTTTGAAACAACTACAGTAGGCTAAAATCAAGCAAGAAGCCTACTGAAGAATTCAATTAACTTCTGGCTTGTTTGGTAATAAATAGTGCAGTATTGTGTTCTGCCACTCTTTATTCTTGTCCTAGTGTCTGGAGATTGCCCAGATGTTTCGTCCTGCGTTGTTGGGTTCCCCCCCCTTTCTGCTGTGGAAGGCTTTAGCCTGCGGGCTGTGCAGCACTAGCCTCTGCTCTCCTGGCTCTAGTTAATCTACATGGCTGTCAGAGCTGTCACATGAATGGTGAATCATGGCCTCTCGCTGCAATCACTTCAACCCCTGGGGAAGTGCTCGGTGCAAACAGCTGCACAAACCCCCACCCAAGCAAAAGTTTCTCCTGGATGAGGATTTTACAAATCAACTTTGAAATGATGACAAAGCCTGAGTGACAGGCCCCTGGTTCTTAAAGAACTAAAATTTGTCAAAAACAAATTGCTTGTCTTTCAAACAGACACCCTGTTTGAGCCCTCCCCCCCCCCCTTTCCTTTGCTGACTTTTCTATTTCCAAACAACAACTGGATCCGTTTTCTTCTAAACAAACTTGAATTACAAAGGAATGTTGTTCTGCTGTACTTAATAGATTTGCACATTTTTCCCCTTTCTTCTTTAGTCTTTCCCAGTGTAACATATAATCCTTTGCACCTGCAAAAGCTCCACAGACTGCTGACTGCCAAGAATCCACCACGTGACCCTGCTTCCATGACCAGAGATCCTGTGTTTAAAGAGAAAGGAAAATAAAAAGTTATTAAACGTTTGAATCTATCTGATCCCCATGCGAGTTAACTCCGAGGATGGGAACTTAAGTGAAAGGCTATTTTTGTGGCATTTTTCAGTGATGTAATAAGTGATTTTTCCCAAGGAACTTGTGTACTTGAACGAGCAGATGGAGTTAGAAAGATGTCTGGAACCGAGGAAGGCTTGAAGCAAATTGCTTTCAGGGATTTCATATGTATGTATTTAAGCCTGTGGCCATGCAGCTTTGCAAATATGTTGTGAATTTATTGTCTTTTTGGCAGATAAAACAGTGCAAAGCAAAACACTGGGGGGGGGGGGGGGGGGGGAGGGGTTAGCATGCAAGAACCAGTATCAGTTCAGCCCAGATGTACGAAACACTCCCATTTAAAATGAACAGTACTCAGCACAGTGAGACATGTCCTGTTTGCCCCTACATTTCTTAAACCAACGCTTCCCCTCACACTCCCCAAAACCCCCCATCATTAAGAAATTACTCTTATCACTCCCATTACATCCCAAAGCAGGTGTGTCTGTTTTTCACTTGGCGTCACTAGGGACCACACACCCTTCTCCTCCCTGCTGCTCCCACACACCATGCTCTAATCCATTAACTCACAGCATCATTTAAACATGCACATTTAAAACCACCACCAAGAGCAGTGCCTTCTAAAAAACACCTATCAAGAATCACAGCAGTCTGATGTGTCCGATCAGTATCAGCAACAAAAGCTGATGTGTGCTAGGATGGTTTCTATTATGCCACTTCGTTCTCTCCTCCTCCGCTCCACTCCACCACCTCCCTCCCATCTCCTGACATGCTTAACACTGGAAGTTCTCTGGAGGAGAGATTTCTGGTTTATGATGTGAGGACCAGTGCTGAGCAAAAAGCAGTGGGATTCACAGCCCTTCTCAGGCCTACCACAGAGAAGTCAGTCATCTCATTTTATAGCTGTGGCACTATCTCATTCTTTTTAAAGCCATATTACTTCTATGCTATAAAACTTCCTTACAAGCAGCCCTGTAGCTGTGCTAGGCTGCGATGCTGCTCTCAGGCTCCTGGGTCTGCAATACAGGCATTTTCCACTGGGGTATGAGAACTCATTGCCTTCATTTGCTGACTCTTCATTTAACGTGCTGTCCCTGTGACTCGCCTCTTCCAACTTGGCTGGTGGTTGTATTTCAGTTGAATGTTTTAAAAATCAAACTGTTCAAGCAACAATGGCCAGCCACAATGTTGTTTGGTATCCTGCCACAGCTAAATAGCTGCAGCTCTGCTGTACGAAAGCACTAAAGGGATTTCAGTCTCTTTAATGCTAGCCACGCTTTTCTGGGTGTTTGCAGTATGGGTTTCTATTCTGCTGTCACCCACAGCAGAAACTGATTTTCATCTTGTAAGCAAATAAATAGGGATTCATAATTATTCAAACCCATAAGATGTTTTTCTAGAATAATTTACACTCTTTGGACACACAGCTTTCTTGTAGCTCAGTCTTGCTGGATGAAGGACACATCTTCCCAAGACAAAAGGTGCTTCCTTCTGAAGCACTTCTGTATTGTCAAAGCATAAATCCAACCCTCAAAATCCACTTTCAAAACACTTCAAGTGCTTAAAAAGCCTCAATTTGAAGGTCATGGTTTAGAATTTAACTCCTGGAGCCACTTGATACAAACAGAATTAGTGTATTTTCACATTAAGTGTTCTCCACGCATGTCTACACCTACAACTAAACCTGAGAACTCAGAACTGCTACTTCTGTAGTGCAAAAAATCACTATGAAAGATCTGCTGGAGGACTGGGAGGAAAACCAGCACATTAATACACACATTCATGGCTCTGCGAGAAGCCCAGACTAATTCTCAGTCATGACGGGGTTTTATGTTAATGGCATTGTCCAAAGAAGTAGGAAAAGGTCAGTCTTAATTCTTGACATGTAGCTCTGAAATCTAGTTTCTGATAAAGGCTGGCTTCCCAGTACAGCTCTGCACAGAGAGCCTTTGCCAAGCCAGGCAAATGGTGATGAATTCCTGTTATTGCCTGCAAATTGACAACAGGTATTTGCAGCAGTCATGCAATATGGAAAATTGTGTAGAAGGGTGGAGCCAGGAACAGTTCAATTAAATTAGGGAAAAGGAGAATTGAGGCTGGAGAACAGGAAGAAAATTCCCCAACAGTGAGGTCTACTGAAGAGCGGGGCCAGCCTCCCCAGGGAGGAGAGGAAAGCCCTCTCCTTTGAGTCACTTAAAAATAGACTGGAGAAGGCACTCGAGACTGTACTGTGGGGAATAATCCTGTGTTGGCAAGGGCAGGATGAGATGACTTCATGCATTTCTTTCCATCTCCAATTTCGGTGATTCACCCAAGCTCCAAACCTGAACATGCAGAAGAGCGAGAGAGAAGCAGGGCATGAGGACATCATCCAAAAGGAAGCTGAGAGGAACAAGTGTCACAAGGCCAAGAGGACAGGCAGGACTCTAGTCCAAACTCTTTCTAACCACACCCATGCTATGGGCCAAGCTGATGAGCTGAAGGCCACACGTGTTTTCTCTCAGAGCCCACAGACCCACTTATCGACAGGGCTTTGTGGTAAATCGGGCTTGTAAGTTCTTCACAAATGCTCATCTTTGTGTTGCATCAAGCATGGTTTTAATACTCCTAACACAGAGCAAAGCACAGAAGCTATTAGAGGCTTGACCACTGTAAAACTAGAGCCTTGCTCCTGGAAAGAAATACAGGATTCACAAACAGTCTTCCACAGAGCACTGACTTTGGACAGAATTGCTGGTTACTTGCAGTGATACTGCAATAGATAATGCTCTGCCATCCTAGATGCTGCACAGATTGAGAAGAGCTTCCACTCCAGGTGACAGCTCCCTGCTCAGGGCCTCCACCCAGGGCAGAAGCCCCCATGTAGTGCCTGCAGAAGCCCTACAACTACACTGCTTTCTCTATATATGCTCTTGCAATATGAAACTGGGAATAATAAACTGGGAATTATAAGCAACACAACCACAACAATTGGATCACCAAATGGCTCCTACCTGCTTACACTGGGCTCCTCCTGCAGAAGGGTGCAGGAGATAATGAGACTTTTCCAAGGCAATACCCATTCCCACTAGTATTCACTGCCTAGGAAAGCAAAATGACAAGGAGCACATTACATGAAAGCGGGCCGCCATGCCAAGCCTGTGTCATGTGTATTCTATTAAGCTGAAGGCTGAATAGAAGACTTTGTTTTCCACTTCAAAGGACCCCATCCCAACCTCTCGCTCTTCCCTTATGAATAACAAATTGGAAATAAATCTTCTGGCTGAAGTGCATGGAAACTCGTACAGTTGGGGCCCTCTGCAGCTTCCCAGCTCAATCACATGCTAATTTTTATTGTAAACACTTTTATGTGATATATATGTAAATCTCGCTGTGCATCGCTGCACCATGTAAAGCAATCCAGAGGGTGCGTCCTCAAGGGATGGGACACAGCAGGAAGCCTGAATGCAGATTTCCAATTATTCACAGGGATAATGTTCACAGAGAAGGGTCAAGTTTTATATGTGGGCAGAGCCTTACTTTTCTTCCTGACGATCCCATTTCATGCTGCCCCATAGGCCTGTGTCCTCTGCTTCTCACTACAAATGTTATTTAGCTCTTTTGATACTGAGAATACAAGGAAGCTCATTTTGCTGAGCAGAAAGTGCATTGGAAAAGTCACTCCTAGGATATACCAAAGGCTTTTCAATCTAGTTGGGTCTTGGTCCGTATTCAGGATATATTCAGATATATTCTATTATATATTGGGAATGCACAGCACTTGCCTCTCTCTCAAACCTGATGACAGGACCAACACCCCAAACACTATATGAAGCATCGCAGAGAATGAGATATCTCTGCCTTGGCCTTGCTATTCTGCAGGCACTAAGATGCAAGCAGAACTCATGGCATACACTAAACTTGAGGCCTGCAGCTGAGTAAATATTACAATTCACTCCAACAATAAGCATCTGCAGTATTTCCACATAACCCTCTGTTCGAGGCCGTGTTCAACTTCGTGATAACAGAGGGGAGGAAAAATCTCTCCAAATTAATCACACGGATTTGTGTGCATGTGCAATCCTGCAGACCGAAGAAAGAAAAGCAATTTTCACATTTGCCTTTGCTACTAGGTATTTTGCTTCCAACGTGGCATTCTGCATGGCTGAGCCTTACAGATGCATGGCACGTTAGCTAGAGGAGAAGCAAAAACTTTGTGAGCTGATCGCTGTTTCTATATGTAAAATCAAACAGAGCATAGAGCCAAATGTCCTCCCCAGTGAATTTCTATGCACATATGTGCGGCATATGTGCTCGTACATGTGTATATTATCTTGCAGGAAACATGCACGCCCAAACATGGGAAAAATTCAATGATCTAAGTTCACTGTTGACAAAAGCATTGAGACCCCAATTGCACTAATGGAGTTGTGCTCACTTAAGCCAGTCCTGAATTTGGCCCTAGAATTAAACCCACCCAAATCCTAGGTAAATTGAAAGAGAACAAAAGTTGGCCTACATGCAACAGCATATTTTTCATGTTAAAAGCATTTCATTCCCTTTTTCTCCCCACATAATACTGCATTGATGCCTGTGACCCATTTGGATGTAAATCAAAATGGATGTGCTAAAAGCCTGGTTAAATAAAATGTCTTCGAAACAGTGTTCCCATGGTAAAGGCAGAACATAATATGCCGGCAACACTCAGTTTCCATGGCATGAAGGGCCATATATGTGCCTGGGGAGGCAAACGTACTTCTGAAAAATCACTTTGAAGTTAGAATGGCTTTCTTTGAGCATCTGCACTGCCACTACCTGCTAATAAATCTGTGCTTCATGCAGGCTTGCATGAATAAATTACATGGAAGGATCATGAGCTTTTTAAGGTTCTCCAGCAAGAAGCAAGTGTCCGAATCAAACAGCGAGCCCTTCACACTGATTACTTCTATACT